GGTTATGACTTCGAAGTACAGAATCTAACCGGAATAAAGCTGCTGTATTAAAAGTTTTAGGTTGATTTACCTGCATGTGTGTGTCCAGAATAAAATCGAACTTTATTGATTTCAACATTGTACAAGCAAAATGCCGTTTTACACTTAAAACTCAAATATTGAAATAGCTAAAACAAATGAAACAACTCTTCCAGCTCTTTGAACAACCAACAGTACCCAGAACAGATGCGGCATTTCCGCGCTGAATTTCGACGCTTATACGCTGCCACAAAAACTCGGTAGCGCGCGCTTCTCCTGTTTGATCTTTTATGCGTCGGCCGACTTCACTGATGAACTGACGGGTACTGGCGCTACAAGTTCCCGTAGTCTCCAAGGAAACTGGTTGGAGAAAGTTACGATCAGTCAGTTCCCTGTAGTTGTTCCTCTTTCGCTCTTCCGCGTCTTCTGCTGCCGATCCCGCTTCCTCTGATGAGCCGGCAATGTACGATATAGCGAAAGTGTCGCACACTGTAACATCCCAAATCAATGGGAGGCCGTTCTTCCAAGGGAAAAGAGATAAACCGTCCGGCCGCTTCCCATCTAACCTGCTCAATCCAGGTGGCTCCAGAATAGAAGGCACTTTTGCTGATCTTAGGCTGCGTTGAATAAGGCTATTCAGGCTTGCGCGTGTCGCCTGAATCTCCTTGACTTTTCGAACATGACAAACCATACAAACCTAGAGCATCAACCATTTTCCCGCATCGGCATTTGTGTTGCTTACAGATCTGAACTCCTAACCGTAAAGCAACAGTTCTCAGTCTTCGCTTGCTCAGTTCAAGTGCGGATCTTATTTTCTGAATATTTTTTGACTGCGAAGACTAGTATCCGGGTTGCTGTTTACGTGTGTCAAACTGAGCGCCGGTCTCGGTGACCTTTTGCCCTGCCGTTTGCCTGCTGTACTTCGACCCCCACCAACATGGGATCAAAATCGGCGTCCAAACTGTCTCAACGAACTATTCCTGAACTCTTGGAAAGCTTCAAGGACGAGATTTCAAAGAGCACAACGTCTACTTATAAAAGCCTGAAAGCAGCAATCGACGAATTGTTGCCTCTAATGAGTCGCATGGTCAGCCAAAACATCGAACAGCACAACAGAATTCTGGATTTGGAGCGGGAAGTGCATGAACTGAGGAAGAAACAAATCGCCACTGCGCCGGTTGCCATTCCTCGTGTCCCTGAAAATACCGCAGCAACGGCTACCACTGCCAGAAAGAACGGACCTCCTATCCAGTCAACCGCCTCGAAAACTGGAAAAACCTATGCGCTTGTTGTCTCAGCGGAAAAACCTACACACGATGCCAGCAGTGCAAAAGATGTCGTTGATGAAATTGAAAGAAAGCTGCCCCAGTGTATTCCTAATGCCAGCGAGAGATTCAATATGGAGCATGTTCGCCGTACACAGAATAACAATATCGTCATCCGGTTCAAGAACGAGAATGACAGAGAGGCCGCGCGAGCAGAATTGGACAAGCACAAAAAAGATTTGGGAATAACGGTGAGTGAGACTCGTAAGCGCGTACATAAACTGATAATTAAACGCGTACCGAAAGAAATGACTGCAGATAGTTTTCACAAGATTGTTTCGGCTAAATTACCTGAAGCGTGCGAAATTAAAGTTGTCAAAAAATTGGTCGGTAAATCTGAAGATGTTAAAACTTGCGCTATGGTTATTGAAACATCTCAAGATGGCGTGGAATATTTTGATAAAATCGGTAGTATTCGGTTTGATTTTTGCATCTGTCCGATTGAGCGCTACATAGTTCGCTGTTTTAATTGCGGTGACACCGGTCACATAGCTAAATTTTGTAAATCACCACGTTACCAGGGCACTGAAGATGGCGTTAACTCTTCCACAAATTCAAAAAACCGGTAAATGTTACCAACGTGGTAAACTCTGATGTTAATTGCACTGTTGAAAATTTTCGGAAAATTAAAATTAAATGTTGCAATATAAATGGCATTCTTTCTAAACATGTTAATGTGAAGCAGTTTTGTTTGAAGGCTGATGTCATAGCATTAACGGAAACTTTCGATCGGGAAAATTATAACGATAATTTGTTTGCTGATTTAGACCATTTTAATGTTTTTCGTAAATGGCGTAACTCTGATACTTCTGAAGATAGTCGTGGTGGAGTAGCGTTGGTAATGTCACAAAACTATAGCGGGAAGAGGCGATCTGACCTTGAGTGTGATGGGTTAGAACTTGTCTTCGTAGAATCTGTTACACTGGACTGCGTGTTTGGTGTTTTCTATGCTCGACCGATTTTTAAAACAATTGTTATCCCGCGCCTTATCGAACATTTACGAGAAAAATTTTCTGTTGAGTTGCGTAATAAGTTAGTTTTAATGGGCGATTTCAATCTACCGGATATATGTTGGAGTACACTGAGCGCTTCTAGTTTTATTTCTCAGATGCTGTTAAACGCGCTTAAAGAATTTAGTTTTCGCCAAATAATAGATACTCCGACTAGAAGGAAAAACATCCTGGACCTTTGTTTGATTTCAACTTATTGTTTGGTTACGGATGTAGAAGTCATTTCGCCTCCGTCAGCGACAAATGATCACTCTGCGTTTCAGTTTTACATGCACAATGAATGCCGTTCTTTTGAGACGAAGTACGTTAAAAATAAATGGATGATAGCAGCTGCAAAAGTTGCTCCTTTTCAAAATGCTCTGAGTTCCGTTGATTGGTCTGCAATATTAACTGACCCCGATCCTTCCACTTCAGCTATTCAGTTTGAGAATAAGCTAATTTCTACTGCTGAGCTATTTTTTCGATTTGGTAAGCAAAACACCAAAAAAATTAAAAAGTATCCCGCCCGAATAAAGAACGCCGTAAACTCTCGCAACAGACTATACAAGCAGTTTTTGAAAGAAAATTCTCCGTTTGAAAAAGAAAATGCCAAACGATTATGGAAAACGGCGTCGAAACAAGTCGACAATCTTCTGCGCGCTCATGAAAGGCACAACGTTCTTGACGTGGTTTCAGCAACACGTAACAATCCCAAAAAATTTTGGCAGTATGTAAAGCGTAGTGTTGATCGTAAACCATTTCCCCTTATTAAAACTACAGATGGCAAAATTCTTACTTCAGATAATGAGAAAGCGAATGCGTTTAATAAACTGTTTTTGGAATCTCAAAATGCTTGCTTAAAACATTGTTCTTTGGATACCGTTTCTACCAAAAATTCCTGTGTGACCTTTGTCCTAAAGGATGATGATGTCATCCAGGCAATCAGTCAAGCCCGTTTTTCCACATCATCTGGGCCTTTTAAAATTTCTAATCCTTTGTTAAAAGCGTGTGGCCTTGTGATTGTTCCTCCTTTAGTGAAAATATTTAATTCTTGTATTCAGACCGGTACTTTTCCCTTAACGTGGAAGACATCGTTCATTTCGCCACTCCCAAAATCATCTTGTAACCAAACCGTTTTGAATAATTACCGTCCGATTGCTATTTTGCATCCCGTTTCAAAAATTTTTGAACGATGCTTAGCAAACTATTTAACTTATTTTCTTGAATCTAACAAATTGTTGAGCGACAGTCAGTTTGGATATCGAGCGAAAAGAAGTACTCAGTTACAATGTCTGCTTTTCACAAAATTTATAAAGAATTATGTTGAAAGTGGTTACGAAGTAGATGCTGTTTTCTTTGACTGTTCGAAAGCATTTCACACAGTTGACCATGCATCTCTGTTAAGTACTCTAACTTCCTTCTCAGTTCCTACCGAACTCGTACGGCTCATAAGCAGCTATTTAACGCAGCGGCGGCAAGTAGTTGTTGTAAACGGCAGTTTTTCCGAAAGCGGTATTGTCACTAGTGGAGTACCACAAGGATCCATAGTCGGCCCAATCTTCTTCAACTGTGAAGTAAATGGACTGACAGTTGTCTTGCCTAACGGAAGCAAAATTTTTATTTTCGCTGATGATGTCTTCTTATGTCGGGTAATAGTTAATGACGATGATCGCGAGAAGTTTCAGGAAGATATAAACTCGATTTACGATAGTGCTGTAAAAAAAAGTTTAAGTTTCAACCCGAAAAAGTCGGTATTTATGCGTTTTTTTCTAAAACGCGACACGACCTTTGTTCCTAAATATTACTTAAACAATGTTGAAATTGAGCAGAAAAGTGTGACGAAATATTTGGGGTTATTTGTAGACAGAAAATTGCGTTGGAGTAAACATACTGAGATTGTGTGTGTAAGAATTCGCAAGCGCATCGGCTACATCTTCTCCATGTTTGACCATTACGATTCGGCAGCCTTAATATGTTTATATAAAGCTCTTATTCTTCCTCTCTTTGACTACTGCAGTCCCGTCGTTAATCCTTTTTTTAAAATGCCTAAAAACGCTCTCGAAAAATGTGCGTTCAAGTTCCTTAAACGTTTACGCCTGGGCTGCGCTACGGATGACTACTGCGATCGACTCCGTGAGTGCGGGTGGGATAGTGTTCAGCTTCGCCGCATAAAGCACTCTCTGGTTTTAACTTATAAATTATTGTTTGGTATTATTCCTTTTTGTGATTCCTTTTTTGTTAGCTATGAATCGGTTACTGCCGTTGATAATGTTGCAGGAAATACACGGAACGCTACACGCATGGCACAACATCCATTTCCTATACAACCCGCCTCCACCACGTTCTGTGGTACAACTGTACCAGCAAGCGAAAACGACTTTTCCAGTTGGCCTTCGAAGCTGTGGAACGAACTCAGATTAGATGAAACAGCGTATCGCTCAGTACGGACGTTCCAGAAGGCCTTGGACGAAATATCTTGGGAAGACATTGCGTGGATTAAAAATCAGCTGCCTCAAGATCATTTCTGAAAATCCATTAGCAAGAACTTTTTATATTGTGGTGTGTCTCATAATTTCAATGTTTTATGTTGTTCTTTTAATTTCTTATTGCATTGATTATTGATTGTCCGTAGATCTTGATAAGGAGTGATTCCTTGTATCTAGGGACGTTAAACAATAAACCTAAACCTAATTCGTACCACATCGTCGTCCAACAGTGTGCCAAGGCTAGCAACCGGCAAAGCAAACAACCAGGCACTAGCATTCTTAGTAGAGGCGGCCAACAAGCGAGCAGAGGCGATAACGTCGGCATCCTCCTTTAAGGCTTCCAGCTTCCTGATAGTCAGCATGTCCGACCACAGGCGTTGATTGCTTCGGTCTTCTTTAGCAGAGGCTGATTTTCCAGTTAATTCTTTCCAGCGAAACTCGACTTCGATCCGGTCATCAGGGCAGTCCTCGGGCACAATACTACTGACCAGCTCGTCAGTCGCATAAAGTGAAGACAGTTGTGCTGGGGCTATAATTTCTTCCGCTTTCGGTAAACCTAGCCCACCTGATTTCACCGGAAGAGAAGCTTGCCTGTATGTAACATCGTCCATCTTGACGCTTGTGATTTCCTCGGCCTTGGACTTTATCACATCGTCAAATTCTCTGAGCTTCTCTGGGTATTTGTGGCAGGGCGTCGCTCTGAGAATGTACATGAGACGTGGCAGGGACATGCTGTTTCTGAGTAAGAATAGAGACTGATGTGCCGGCAAAACACCCAAAGATTCAGTCAGTTTCTTAACTTGACTAATTTCACAGTCCAGGACACGTTCAATAGACCAGTCAGTGAGAGGAGCGCCAAGCAGTTCGAGTGTCTCTGGGGTTACCAGTTGAATTCCGGGTGCAACCGCATTAAAACGATCAAAGATCCTCAGTCGTTCTTCTTCGGAACCGCCGTACACATACAGCTCGCACTTGGCAAAATTAAGTTCCAGGCCGAGTTTGGAGGCTTCGTTTTGCACAGTGATCAAATCTTCAAAAACAATTTCTGGGTCACCTCCTTCCGTCCCGTCGTCCAGATACCAAACATTGAGATCAGCGCGGAGACTTCTGGTCAATTTGCTAGATCCCAGGCAGAACAGCAACGGACCGAGGGGATCGCCCTGTTGGACGCCATTGGCGGATAATATCGTTGTGTCCCGACAAAACAACGTCGAGCTCTCTTTATAACACTGTGAAACAAAATGATAATATTGCGGTATTCTTTCAGCTGCTTCCTTCAAAACAACATCCCGACGTATAGTGTTAAATGCGTTACGGAAGTCCAGTTTCAAAATCACATTAGGGCTGGCTGGGTGTGCTCTAATAAATTTCCGAGTGGCATGCACAGCAGCTTCCGCTCCACCTCGAGTTCCATACCCTAACTGAACTGGGCGAAAAAATGCACCCAACTTACACTGAACGCGTTTACTTATCACCTTCCCACACAGGCGTCGCACGGTGCAACCGAGAATAAAATTCGTAGTATATGTGCCAACGTCGGGCAATACTGAATACACCGTAATTACACTTTCTAGTACAATGTAACACTGTGCCATCATTTTGCTGCTGCATGGCGAAAATGGTGCTGCATTAAACATATTTTTACTGCATGAGCAACTGTTAAAAACTGCGTAACCATGAGTTCTGTGCATTTCCGCTGGTTCCGGTTAGTTACTGCTTACGTGTTGTACAATACACGTACAATACAATGAATAACATGGAGTGCTGATTCGTAATGGAATATTTTCATGGAGATTAAGTTATTAACCTTATCGACTTAACGTTTTCATGGATTTACTGTGTACATGCATGGCGCAGAAGGCATTAAAAAACCGTGAAAAGTTTAACGAAATCTCTGTGAAACTTTGTATGCCCCAGCTCATTGATCAGTCATGAATCGTGGAACAATTTCTACAATCGATTAACAATCGTTGGACAAAGGTAATTTAATTACACCGGCTAAATTCTTCTCGCACCTCCACAGAGCGAAAGTGAAAAATGAGGATCCCGCATTTCAGTATTTTTATGTAAGTACGATCTTGTGAATAGAGGTAAGTACATAATTTTCAAGAATACTCGGTAATTTAAAGCGTCGTAAGTCGTCATAAACGGACGTGACCTTTGTACTTAGACGGGCTATGAACCAGTGATGACTCATACAGTCAACGTAGCTTGTGTTTCCGACTGAAAGTGTTGATTGTGCGATTATCGTTATATACTACAAAAAAATTATTATGCAGTAAGCAAATCTACTTTTTTCTAATAACAACCCAACCCAGCAAGTACTCAAGTGCAACTAGTAGCTGAAAATATTCATTATTGATATGTTACTACATATGTACAGTCTGTATCTTCAACAGCTGTTGTAATCAATAGAACATTCAGCAAATTGTATTATTTTATACATGTACTATGCGCGCTGGTGTCTGTAAATTGTAATTAGTTACGAGTACTCATACGGTCTTTATTTGATTTTTAACGAATAGATTTTACTGGCCAGTTCGCGTAAAGGAGTAGCGGTGTAATACTTAATGTTAAGAGCCACACATACAGAAGAATACAGCGTTCAGTAATTTCGTAATAATGATTATAGTAAAACATTATGACGATATAGCGTACATATACATATTTTTCAGGGTTCTGGGAGATGTTCGGCGTTCATTTTAAATTCTTCCAGGTTTTTCCAAGAGGCCTGTACCGCCGCGACCGCCGCCGCACGGTACCACCGGGACCGTTGGTATGTGACCACCGTGCCAATAATGCCACCTATGGCGACCAGGGAAGCGACAATGAGCCCGGCTGTTAGCCCTGTGAAATACAAAAATTAAAAAATATTTTAATCCTGTTTCGTTGCTTATGTACTTAGATACATTAATTTTTATTTACGATCAGTAATCGAGCTAGTAGAAATAGTGCACGGATACCGTGGGCTGTAGATCAATTTGGCACACATAAAAGGCTAAGATAGGCAAAGCAGTTGCTCGTGACTACCGACAAACGTTTTATTTAAAAACAAGGCCGACACAAAAAGGTCACAGCAGATTTTCATAAACAGATAAGCCACTGGAGCGCAGAGAAGGGCCTCTTTTTTAAGTATTATTTCAGTTTTCCTATGTCTTCCAGTATTAGTTCATATTTCTTAGTATGAAGTGACTATGAAGGAAATATTTATAATAATAATACTTTGTAATGTGCAAAAATTAAGTTCAAACCGTTGCAAAGGCGGTATTTAAATTACAAAGCGGGTAGAACTTTTCAGAATAGCAGAAGGCACTCATGTAAAATTCATCAGAAAAACGCAGACGATAAAGCGGCAAAGCTAACAATGACGACTGACGAAATGATGTAGATAGCAACTATGCCACGGTTGCGACGATTACATCGACAACGACAAGAAATCGACCGCGATTTTAACCCGGCTACCAGTCTTATAAAAAATTAACTTTTTAGGTGTGTACTGGCTATTTAGCGAGTACTCACTAGCTCAGATCGTAAACTTGATCAAGTAGTTTTTAGTGACACAAATGTAGAACGAGACCAGGAGCGCACGCTTTTGAAGCAACTTACTGTAAAAGCTCAAAGGGAATAAGTATTCTTATATATTCTTATTCAAGCAGATGTTTATGCACGTAATAAAAACACCGCTATAATTAAATGTACGGAGAGAATTCCACACGTTACTGCTGATACAACTAGGAAAACGCACTATTGCGTGCATTGGTAGACCGGAGCGCAGGTAGCACTAGAATTATTAAATTCTTTAAAAATTGTATTTTGTTCGCGTATGCAGGTGCCAAAAATTTGGGTGCCAAACTATGTATGCAGGTGCCAAACCGGTACTTTATTCATTGGAATGATCACTACAGATCAATGTCTGCATGCAACGCTGCTCATTTCAACCGGTTAAGCCGTTGTTCTTCTTTTATGCGTTGAACAGTGGTTTTTTTAGTTTTAATGGTAGTGAGCAGCGAGTATGGGAAAGTGGGCTCTAAAGCCAAACCCTTCCAAGACTTGACTCTGGATAAGGCGACGTAAATCAATCCAGAGGCAAATTCCCGGGGTCCAAGATGGACAACAGCGCGGTCACAAGTGATCCCTGGGCTTTATGAACAGTTATTGCCCAGGACAGGGCTAACGGGAATTGGGTCCGTACACACTTCTGTCCATTCTCCGTCCATTCGGAAGTGATCGGACAGATGGGCACACAGTTGCTAGCAAACGTTGGCCCCTTATACTTGTCGAATTCGACAAGAACAGCCAACGGCATCGCGTCATCTGGAGATGTTCCAGGCGCATAAATAATTTCACGCACAAAACCCAAGGATCCGTTTACGAGTCCTTTATCCGTCCATAGGTTTCGTTTGAGCATAACCCTTGACCCGCGCGACAGGTAAAGTGCCGGTTCCAGCCCCATTGCCTGCTGGTCATTTCCTGTACAGAAGTATATTGTATTGTTACGTAGAAAGTATTTTGTAAAAGGGTGCATTGTTACCTCGGGCGGCTGTTTGATTGTTATGTTTAGCCTTGATTTTTGCAACTGGCATCCGTAGATCCGTCAGGGCCTTTATATTATACTGACATGCCGGTTCCCGCTCAGTAAACAACCGAATAGCAGTCTTAAATGATTCCCGTTCTTCGTCGGGAAGCAGTCCATAATTTCGTGAAATCATTTTTTCGTAGTCTTCAATCGTTGACTCTCCAACACTCAGTCTGTCTAATGCATCCCTGAAATTTTGTTGCTCGGGATCGTCTCCGCGTTGCCGTTGGGAGGTCGTGAAGACGAAGGCTTTGGTAAAGGCGTTTCTGTAAATTAGCTGCCCATGATCGGCCATTTCGCTTTTGAAGCCATCGCCATAAAGTTGGCGATCCAGCACAGGAGGCAGCTGCTTGATATCGCCGAAAAGGTAGATATAAGACCTCCAAATGGAAGGTGACCTTTCTCCGGCTTTGCTTGCCGTTGGGGAACGTCTTGGGCAGCGTTTCCTGCAGCATTTGCGCTTGAATGTGTATGTGAGCTGCAGATATAAATGCCTGAATTTCGAAAATATGTACCTGCGACTTCATCATCCTTTTTCTTTCGTTTTACATCGTTTTTACGTACATCCTTAATTAACAGGAACGCACAATTAATAAAAATCTTAAGCGGAGCATACCGATTTGAAACGACAATGTTAACCCAGTAACGATTAACGAATGCGAGGAAGAACCAGCGTAAATTTTGCTGTAGACCAGAAAATCGACCGCTTTACCGATATGTGCTTCCACACAATCGATCCGCCTACCTGCACTGGTGACCTTTCCAGCCGGGAGATCCCCACTTTAATTTCGTTGTGATGTGCCGTACTTGGGGGGTTCAGGCGTGGTTCGGGGAAGCCCATGTTGCTGCCGAAATTCCCATTCTCTGTGGCATTCGTGTCCGTGCTATTCGTAGCGTCTACAACCGCAGCTGTAAGATGGTAATGTAGCATGCCGCAATGTCTAAAAGTACTTATGAAGTGCAGTACTAGTCTTACTTAAGGAACTGTTTGACATTGCAGGGCCACCGATGATACCCGCCATCTCCAGAGACTCCCGAGCGAACGTATATTGCAAAGAAGCGAAATTGTTACTGACTACACACTTGACTGGCAAGAGATCCATATACTGGTTGATGGGACAATGCAGCGTCCCTTCTACTTCCATGCAGCCACGCTTATCCTCGAGTTCTGTTGAATGATAATTAAAAACATGAGGCACACATGACAGGTCGCATACAGATACAATAATTATTATAACACATAATTATGCAAACAGATCGGTCCACGTAAATTACGAGTATTACTAAACGCTACGTGCCGGCAACGTTCAAAAGCTGATGCTAAGTTTTTTACTGACCTTCGAACTTCCGGTCATGTATGAACCATTTACCGCAGGCACGTGGGGTTGAGGCATTGGCCTCACAATGGAATATAGCCTCTTTTTGTGTCAATCTCGTGTGGGGAATTTCCTTCCAGTGTAACAACTCGTCTGATAACAAATAAGAAGAGCTTTGCAGAAAAGTAATTATTTAATTCGAAATTGTTATTAATTTTGCACGTTGTGGGAGTAGCAATTAAAGTTTGATATTTGCATTCAAACGGGCATAAAATATCTAAAATCCCACACGGGCGGCCAACTAAGTACTCGTATGTTATTTCTCGCTTCAGCGTGCTCATTAATTTTGGGAAAGTAAAATAATAAAATGAGACAGAACGATTTTAACTATCTGTATGAACGGTGAACTTATCACTTCCGCCTGGACACTTACCGGCTAAATAAAGGTCAAAATAAACCGTAAACTTATAAGCCCCACGCCTTGAATTCCGACATTGTAGTTTTTCCAAAGCGTTGGTGAATGACAACACCGCTGAAGAGCACGGGTTGGCCACGTTCAGAAAGTGGACGGACTTCTCATTGTTCGTTGTGTTGTACCACTGGCAGTTGTCGAATGTCATTCCCGTTTTGCCACCAAATTCGTAGACGCCTCCATCACAATTTAATATTACATTTCCGTTCCGCCGAACGTATATAATATAGTGTTTGTCATAGCCATAGACTTGCGGCTCGAACCAAAAGAGGCTCCAGTCGTGGCACGAATAGTTCCCCATCGGTGCCTTGTCAAACGAAGGATAGCAGCCTAATAATATGGCCACAAAATTCAGACAACAATAAAAAATTACTAGCCCTATCGGCCAACCTGCTTTGAATTTGAGTAATTAAAACTGACCAGGTAAATAACAAATTAGAATTACAATAAATCGACCAATAAAAATTTATAATCTGTGCACTTAGCCAAAACGGCTCGATAACGAATGGCATAATTTGATCTTGCCGAAACTATTGCTATAATTTCTAAATTTGTGACTATACAGGCAATTACAGCGTAGATTCACTTCCTCCTCAACTGCTCTTCTGATGCTGTACTTTCCCTTTTGTGCTTTAAGGTTTAAAGTTAAACTTCAAGCAGTCTGGACTGGCAATCAGATCACAGGCGAATTATTCATAAGAAAGCATAACGGCATAATTCGGTATATAGCTGAGACATTTCGGTTTCTGTCATAGCTTGCCGAAAAATAAACAAAATTGGACTGCTTAATTACTACAAATGACTTTTAACCATACTTCAATGGAAAGCGAAAGAGTTATATTACTGTTTTAAGGGCACAAGGTGCACTATCGACCGCCTTTCATAAGCCGCAGCTCCACTCAGTACCTTCACCCAAAAGCACTCAAAAATAACACTACTGAAAACTGTTGAAAATAACACTACTTTTTTACTGTACTTACTTTCTGGCTAAATTGAAATACTGCGTTTTCGTTACTGATTTTTGGGCGTTTAAGCCCTTTTAAGTGTTATAGCTGCGAAATGTCGAATCTGCCGAACCTACCGTCATGACCTTTAGGCCGAGTGCGCATATAAAACGGGCATTGGCTGCCTGCAGTTGAAAAGTGCCCTCACAGGCTCGCAAGCGTTCGGCTGATCAGTGTACAGACATCTTAAAATTTTTGGACTACAGAAATTTACGGTTTGCGGTTTCTAGACAAATATGAAAATAAACGTCCATCTTCCAACTGTTTTGTCACAAAAATTTGGCAAAACACTTGTTGAGGTAGTACATATTAATTTAAAATTGGCAACAGGCAGGAAGCTGCTGACAAAATTGACTGGAATGGAAGGCAGCCCGCCAAAAGTAGTATAGCGTTTACACAGCTGGAGTCCTTAAATCTGTATATAAAAGTTTACAACTACCTTACTCGCGTTTCTTATGCACACCACTTATGGTTAGTTTTATGCAGTAAAATGCCAGCAACATGTGCTGAAGGTCTGGTGGTAAAAATTGAAGTTAAATACTTTAAATTTAAAAAAGAATAATTTAGAAGAAGTAATTTTTACTAAAGTATGGTTTATAAGTTTTAAGTACTGTTGTGTACGGAGTGAAAGGGTGTGTACGGAGTGGTCACCTATTTTTAAAGCCAAAAATCAGCATAAATTAATGCTACATCCGCATGACACGGTTTTTACCTTGTGTGGGATAATAATGGCGAGTGAAAGAGAACTTAAAGTTGCGATTGAAAAACGTCTAAAAGGTGTACTCTGCAGAATCTCAGATGCGAAAATACAGAAAATTACGGGTTGTTGTAGCGAGTAGTTGTCAACTGATATTTACAACCCGTTTCGTTCAAAGTCAGGAATAGTTTTCTATGCGGCACTGTTGGTTTGAGCGCTTCTGTGCAATTTTGGGCGATGTAAGTACATTAATATGCGTATGTGTTTGTACATCCATATGCTGTACACTCGCAGTAGCCCACTGTCCGGTACTGGTCTGAATAATAATTATTCATATCGTACAGTCGTCCTACACAACCGTATCTATATGTAGTACAATCGTACTTTTAAATCACTTGTTTGTCAAACTGCGGCAAACGCCACAAAATGCCATTCGGTGTATGGCTTATTAAATACGGGAAAAAACACCGGAGTATCATGAGCAACTGTGGATATCTGCCTCGTACAAGGTGACCAAAGTGGCGCGTGCCAGCATTAAGCCGGTAAGGCGCGATTCAAGTATTACGTAACGGCTCAGGGGGTGGGGGGTGGGTCCGGCTGGCGTTACCCGCCCATAAGTAATACATGGATAAAGGTCACAAAAGGGTGGGGGGGTGGTCGAAAAGTGGAAAATTTCCGTTACGTAATACTTGAATCGCGCCTAAGGTGACGCTCTGTCCGTGAGTGCCACTGCCCGGTATTTTTTAAGCATTGCGTCAAAGGCAGTCCTACATTGTGACGAGTGCGCAGAAGAGTCTCTGTCAAATTCTGTTAGAAACCATGAACAATCATGAAACAATTTCGCATCATTTTCAATTTGATAGTTCTTCTTAAGTGAAATGTAAATTAAGGTACGAATCTTTCCGCACCTCGACAAAGCGAAAGTAACAAGAACGCAAACTCCCCGGTACGTAGGCTTACGGTGCATCGCCATACAACGTCAGGGAGTGGTATCCGGTATGTGCTGCAGTATACAATATTATCCAGGCTACTGTCCAAACTCTGCATTAAATTCCTACATTAATAAACTCTGCTACAAATAACTCTGACCATCATACTCATCCATTTGTCACGCTGGTCCGCTAGTCGTTATCTAATTCAGTACTCAGTGTTATGTTTACAAAGTCTGATGATCTGATCGTGTTGTGCTGCGTGCTGGTCTTGTCACACCGAACAGGTTGGTAAATGCGATAATAGCAGGCCGATTCATGGAATACTTATTTCCTTAGCAACGGCTCCCAACGGCTTGTCCCTGCATCATACCGCCTTAGCAACGGCTTGTCCCTGCATCATACCGGTTGCCTGCATGACCGTTCAGTGCATTGGCCCAGAGACGCTATATTTATGTAGTTATTGGATGACGGCTTTATTTTAGGAAGCGTTTTTTCTGATTTCCGCCGCTACGCAAGTTTAATGGACGATCACTTTGCATAAGTTTCATGAGACCTTTCCGATGCTAAGAAAACAATTTATGCATCTCGTAATATTCCTTTCTGTAAAGTAATTAATGGCAGTCGATTGCCTCAACCGTGTATGCCATCCTGGGCGGCTGGCAAATCAGCCCGTAATGTTACGAAATTGGTCGCATCCACGGATTTTAAACCGATTTTCTCCATAGACTGGTCTGCTAACTTCAAATGCCTGCCATTCTTGAGTTTGAAAATGAAACTGTACACGCCATGTACCAAACGACAGAAAATAAATTTTCACGATTTTTGATACCAAAGAAGTTGTGGTTTGTGGCGAATGAAACAATTTACAGCCATTTTAGTTTTCTCGTAGACTTAGCATACAATTCACGATCAAGGGTCCCACGCGGCGACTCTATGCTATATCTACGAGAAACTTCAAAGAGCTATAACTTGTCTTTCACGCCATAAACTGCAACTTGTTTGGTGTCAAAAATCGTGAAAATTTATTTTCTGCCGTTTGGTACTTGACGTGTACAGTTTCATTCTCAAACTCAAGAATGGCAGGCATTTGAAGTTAGCATACTCGTACCAGTCTATGGAGAAAATCGGTTTAAAATCCGTGGATGCGACCAATTTCGTAACATTACGGGCTGATTTGCCAGCCGCCCAAGATGGCATACACGGTTGAGGCAATCGACTGCCATTAATTACAACACGACACCCAGTACGAAACAATGTACGTACGGTACATCGACAACAGTGCATTTCCATGCATTCTGTTTAAACGCTGCTAATTAAATGCTAGCCATTGTCATTATTATGCGTATCACACGGAGCGTTTACTACCGCTATAGTATCGAGGCTGAAATGATAAGAATTATTTTAATGTAAAGCTAGCAGTACATCTTTGTAACTTGCAGTAACAGTTGCATGCCGTATATTTCGCGTGGCAAATCTACACTCAAATAATAAAAAATGCGATTGTTCAATTGCACGAAAGGTCACTGCATGTATTTACTATACTAGTATTCCCATTAGCACTTTGTCTGGGTCCATTACGATCATTTAACATAAAAGGTCTTTGCTACGTCGGCAAATTGCTGACTTAGAGTCAACCGATGCGGTAGCATAGCGCACTTGTACAATAACACAGATACGGTACATTATGCATATACTGTAATGTAAAAATTAAAACTAATGTAATGTACTTATACTCTTCAGAACCGGAGACGCTGCTTGATCTACAGAGTAAGGTATACGAAACTTGCAATCTTATTCATAGGTAATAATGTAAGCAAGTAATTTTTATTCCAGCCGGACAACCGGAATTTTTCATACCATACATAGCGTTCTCCTTTTCCGAGATTACAGTGTACATAAAAATCAATACTTAATAAGAAAACTTAGAGGCGGCAAACTGTAATAAATTTAATTTGTTTCCGGTGACGGATGGTTTCAGTCTATGCTTTTACGGTTACGGTATTGTTACGGAACACGGTACCGTTTCGTTTACACGTGCGCACAACATGCAGTACTGCACAGTGCAAACGGTTGGCCACAAATAATGCAAAATTGCAAACTAACGCTCTAACTTCTAACAGCAGGAGCAGCTTTCGTTTTTGTTTTCTCAGCGGTCAGTTGCCCACTTCCGACTAGGGATGTCTACCATACTGCCATAGCGCAGAACCAGCGATGCAGTACAGTACATTAACTGCAACGTGCGTATTAAATTGAGCGAAACGTCTGCCAGACGGGGGCGGTGCATCTGTCTGGCAGTATTGATAATTCAATACATTTAAATGTATTAGTAACTAGAAATTTCTAGTTACTGAAGCGTATCGCATAAGTATCGCATACGCGTGTAAGCATATTTACTTATATTAATCTTTACTAACAGTTAACACATTTACGTACGTTCAGCTTCTTGAGTCAGGAGCAATCTGGCGCAAGATGCAGCACTGCTTTGAAACGACCGTTTGGGAAATGGGCGGAGCTGGTCTCGAAGGATCGAACGTTGTGCAGGTGCACGCAGTGACCTATCGATTTGTCGTTTCCGTTGTAGGACCGGTTTACCGGTTGTTATACATCCAGCCGAATGGCTTACTGCACACCAGTTTAGTACAAGCCACCCAGCAGCCGGGCAGGACCCGGGCTTCCAGACTCGAGTAGCCAGAAGCAAAAATGTTACCCATTCCGCTGTAATTTTAAACATAAAAGCCGGTACGTACTGGCTAACAGCATTTTTTGTTTGCTCGAAAATTCACAGTACTTCTACAACTTAACTACGCTACTTTGTACTGTAAACTGTTACGCACTTTTGCTGTATTATTTGACTTGTTTATTAATCTGCAAACAAAACTTTTCAAAGCAACTTCGGCAACAATTACTTATTTAGCAATTTGCTTTATACCGTAAACAACATAACAAAATCTAAGTAACCTTAAGAATTCGTGAAATGCCTCGAATACATCCTGTGCACCTTAGGGATTCGTCGAATGCTTCAAAATTATTTTTCCTCTTCCATAGAAACCCGAAAGTAAAAATTCAAAAATGTGGATACGACTCGCTGCAGTACCTTTAGAGATTCCGCAGCCTAGGGTACTGCACGAACCACGCACCCGCAACCGGCATTTGCCTGAGTCCAAAAACTTGCAGTTGGACTTGGACCAGTGAGCGTTGCTTACTGCTCCATATTGGTTGAGGACTGATTGGATTAAAATTATTTCGATTTTATTCACAGCCCCTCTATTCGGTAGAAATTACGTTTCCGACATTGACCATCGTCAACGAAAGTGCACAGCCTGTGTATACTTTTATAGTATTATCTCAGAGATTTGATGCATCTACAGCAAGAGTTCCTTGGCACCTGTACGCTACGCGCTAGTAGAACCAGAATCTGGGTAAAATCTAATTAAATAACTAAACATAAGGGCTTCTGCTACACCTACCACTTTGTATGAGCCAAGTTCCACAAATACTCGTAAAGGTACTTGTGGACTTTGGCTCATACGATAGCTCGAATTTGTACTGACAAGTTAATTTTCCTGTAGTATTCCAAGATCTTTATTATAACAACGGCTGCAGTCTGAAACTGAACTTACTTGGGTTTTGCCGGTTGTAAGCCAAAATTAATTATAATGTGACGGTGTATTCTGATTTCCGCTGGCTGCCCCCATTATTGGAGATACAGTACGTAATAATAATATGAATCAGATGCACTGCAGCAAGTAAATAAACAAAATCCAACGGTAGGTTGCTTGGCTTGGTAGATAGCTGGATCAAACGTATATTCTTCCTCACCGAATTTAATGGAAGAAGGCGTCAAAATTAAACGAAAACGCCTGCCCGTTTAGCCGTGAAAGGGCACGCGCTGGATTAATGTGAATAGCACAACTGTTAACATTACTGTCATTACAACTACAGAGTAACAGCTCAAGTATTCCTAGTAAATATAGGGCATTGATCGACCATAGCCCGTGAAGTGTGGCTTCCAGATTAAAGAATACGTAACATCGTCAAACCTCAAAACCAGAAATTTGTTACCATTTACCGGCAGTGCTTGATTTGCTGCAACTGATTTTCCGCTCGGCTACCGAACCGCTCTACGTATCGGTTCCCTCTGATTTTTTTACGGTACATAATCGCTTTCTCTCTGGCCCAGATGCCAATGCCGGCTATGGACTTTACAGTTTATACTTACAGTAACAGAATCGTTCTTCGCAAACTGATGAAGCGTCACGGATTACTACAACAACGGTGAGCGATTTGGTTAGATTGTTAAAGGCTGCTGTGCTTAAACGAAATGCTATGGCTGTTTTAAGTACGTTACCTTTTAAACCGAGATAGGACAGAGCCTTCGGTTTAATGTTTAAATTTAACTATCAAGTAATGTACCAGTGCCTGCGACTTTTGTTAAATGGATGGCTGTTGCCAGTAAGAGGTTACAACATTATTTAAATATTGGGAAATACCTTACAAATGCTAGCACAAACAGTAGAAACTGCATCAATACGCGAATATCATCACAACATACGTAGCCTTTTAAATCAAATTTGAAGGGAGAATGCTCCAGGCACCACGTTTTACCACCAAAGTCTCCGCACACCACGTCTCCCCGTTTTTCCTTTTGCAACGGACGTTGAACAGTGATTTGCGCTAAAGGAAATATTACATCAAATTACCTTCAGAATGTGCAAGTATGTGTATTGCATTCAACGTAGAAGTACAGTAGTGAAAAAATCAAGCGATGATTTAGCATAAAAATTAGCGGTCAGCAGAGCATGTTGTATCTGTTCAGCGTTTTGCAAGTTTAGCAACATCTGTTTCGCGAAACGGCATATGGAAAGTGGACATTGACAACAGACGTAAAAGTCTACCCAAAAAGCTCATTCCATTAAGAAACTAATCAATAAAAAGCTTTAAAAACGAAAACTGACATCCTGGCTGCATCCAAGTTGTTCGTTACGGAAAACACCGAACCCACCGTCCGCATTCTCTTGGCTCATGGTTTACTAATGGATGCGATGCGTTGCAGAAACTGCACAAATAAACTGCGAAACTTGAGATCCAGCGGAGGTGGTGCGGAAGACCAAACTAGACGACGCAGTAGCAGCGGGTTCTCTTTGCTGAATCCAAATCGTCTTTTTGCAAACGTCACAACAATCGGTTCAGGCTGGCTATCTGACCGCGAAGTAGCGACTCCCACCGTGCGCAGCAGCCACAAATGCCGATTACTCAAATATGTGCGACAGGGATAAGTGCGAATATTACGAATATTGGCGAACAGCCATCCTGGTGACCTTCAAGACAAAACTGCCACAAAAGTTGTGTGTGTGGAGTGGATCGGGCACACTGCAACGGTTGCACCTCGTCTTAGAAGCCAGCGCCTCTCGTTATCACTGCATGCAACAGTCGCACGAGTTCCTTCTATCAAACCATCGAGCTGTTTTCGAAGAGCCTGCAGACTATTTAGCGCGTGACGTGGAAGCTAGCCCGCCCCAGCGCGATTGCCTCGCATCAGCGTTGACCATCCCACTACGGTAGCCACATTCGAAACTGCACAAGATTGCGCGTTGTGTTAATGTTCGGCCCGTTTCATCGCCAGAGTGTCACAATGCCGCTGGAGCCGCAACGCTGACCGGCCGTCGGTGCAGTGAGATCGCCGAACGGCAGTTCGAGCGGTCCCTTTATCTGCCTGCTACCGTCCCCGGCCAGCTGCCATATCCACATTCACAAACGCGTCTTTCAGGTTCGCTGTTTAGCGGAGGCGCCTGCCTTTGACCGACGCCTTAGTCAGGTTCAAAGTAGGTCTAAGGGCAGCGCCTTTTCCCTCAGCGGGCTTTCCGGTGAGAAAATAAACGAAAGGGTAGCGGACGGCAACACCACGCTGGGGTAGGCGGAACGCATTCAAAACATTCTTGCGCGATTTCTCTGCGCTCTACTGCCTGATGACGACGGCCCGTTATAGGTGTGCATACGTACATATCCGATTTCTACCGCGATGGGATAAATAAAGGTCACGGTTTCGCAGGAAGTTTTTCTGATTCGGCAGCTGAAATATCTTCAAAACAAGCTCCGTCTGCACTGCTATATCAACAAGGACCGCTGAGAAGAGAAGGGCCACACAGAAGAGCTTTCTACTTCTACCACATTGGTAAAATACGTGACTAGGTGGTTTGACTGAGGCGCTGGCATTATGTGGACACTTTGAGATTAGCAGGTGGACGCACACGTGGACGCGCAGATAACTACATTTGCGCTGTTTCGATGGAGACAATACAGTACTTAACGCTGTGTGCTTCGACCCGGCGGATGACCGACCGCTAACGCTAGTCATGTGCGCGCGCATGCACCTGACGACCCATATACTACTGGACCGTCGAAAAGTTGGACGTGCATGCCATCCGATACGCTTTCCAAAGCTACGTCAGTGTCAACGGTAAGTACGAATTCATGGGGTACAGCATGTTGCGCGAAAACTTCGTCCGTACCAATAAAGTCAGGGCAGACGCAGCGTGACCTATATTAAGAATTAAAAACTCCAGCAAGGTTGGTTGCAAGGGGTGACGTCGGATCGGAAGAAGGTCAGGTACGACAGCGCAAAGACGTGTCTGTCCATCGACGGCGTCAACGTGTTGCACTGGAGGAGAAGAATCGGCGGGTCGCGTGGACCGGCACCAACCGCGTGTACTCCGACAACATGCGCTGGCTCGTTAGACGGCATATTTTTGTGGAACTTCTGACTAACAGTAACTCATCGAAAGTGCTCCAATAAAACAATAAACAGTGAGTCTAATTTACCGAAATCTTACGAGAACACTCGTACTGCATGGGACACACCAATAATCGACGGGGATATGTCGACGCTGATTGTTAACTGTCGGCGACGAGTGCTGACAAGCGATGCTATTAGCAGCGTTCAGGAAAAGTTCAGATCCATTTTGCGGTCTTTTTTGTATTTAATTTAATTGAATGAACAATTTCTGCAAAATCATGTGCCGCAGTAAATTTGTGACTATCATACCGAGTGCACTCGTCACTGCACCAAATTTGAACGAAATGGGGGTTCGGTTTTAATGTCAGCGACCGCGATTCACAACAGGAAGATAATATATTAATTGCATCTTACGGTAGAAATGCAAAGTGTATTGGAAATTGTAGCATTGGTACGAAACTGCAACGGTCATGATTCTACACTAATAATAATAAATTGTACATGTACTCTGTACCATTGAAAATATTACCGCCGAATTTATTGCATAAAATTTAAGCACGATGCATATTACTTCGAATCGCAAGCAAATCCACTGACGCGCTTCGGGACTTTATGAGCTTGACCAGTGCCGCAGTTCCGCCCATGATAGTAACCAGACAACCGGCGGTCAGCCCGATAACAAGTCCTATAAAACAATGGTCTTCTCTTTGGCGCAAACGCGGATAAATGTACGGTTTTGCATGCAAGACCCTTATAGAAAAACCAAAAAACCGCGATTAGATTTAATTTCAATGAAGATATCCCCGAGAGTTCGCAAAAATACATGTGCAGTCCGCAGAAAAGCGCATGCGCCGCATTACACTACGGTACAGTAGTGCAAATGTAAGAATGCAGCAGTGAGACAATCAACCATTACCTAAACAAGAGAACAACTGAAGTAAGCTAAAATATTTGTAGTGAAGATTTCGCAAAAGTTCAGAGCAGCCAAATTAGTGAACATCTACAGCAAAGAGCGTAAAGATTCCGCTGTACACTAGCACATCCAAAACCTTGGCGACCTTACCAATATCTGTCGGCTGTGTCTTGTCAGCCGCATCAATTACCGGCGCGGGCGTCAGGTCCAGCAGACCGCCGGTATTGTCATCATCCAGTGGTTGGTACATATTCAGCGCGGCCACTTGCGATGACGAATTCGGCATTAATTTGTTCCCACTTTCCGGAGCAACAAAGCTTATGTTAGCACCTGCAGAAAGAGTCATGAAAGAATGAACAAGTACGGGGTATGTGGTATGTGCACTATTTCGATTAAAACCGTCATTGGATCACTTTTACAATACGGTGCAGCTATCGGATCACTGAGCACTCGATATCAGGTCAACAAGCATGTAATAGCTGCACCGTAAAGTATAAGTGATCCAATGACGGATGTAATCGAAGTATGGGAAAAAATCGTTTCCATGCATCAAATGAAATACCCAGTGAGTATTCAAATCACCGCTCACGAATACGAGTGTGTGCGCAAGACGGCCACCCAGAGGTGGCAACAACTTAAACAGTAGCGCGAGAGACACGAGGTACCGTGCCTGTAAACGAGCAAAACGACCGGACGACTGAGACATCCGGCAGACGATTCAAGCCGACCAAACTGTCTGGAGACCAAAAAACGTCCGCGTTGGTCATGCCAAATTAAAGTGCCCGGGCGATGATCATTTCCCGACCAGAGTGTCCAGGCGTTGGTCATCTCTAGGCCAAAGTGCCCCGACAAAGGTCATGTCCCGTCCAAGGTGCCTGGGCGTTGGTAATTTCACGACCAAAGTGTCCGGGCGTGGGTCATGTCCTGTTCGAGGTGCCCGGGCGTTGATTATTTCCTGACCGAAGTGTTCGGGTGTTGGTCATTTCCTGTCCAAAGTACCCGTGCGCCGGTAATCTCCAAACCAAAGTGCCCGCACCTTGGCCATGTGCCAACAAGAGGGTCCGAACGTATGTCATCCCCAAACCGAAGTAGCCGTGCGGGCTGTGCGTTGGCCAAGTCGCGAAAAGATCGGCCGAGCGCATGTGTGTCATGTTTGAACTGAAGTTGTTGAGCGCATATATATTATGTTCGAATTAAGATGCCCGGGAGTTGGTAATGTCTGGACAAGGGTGTCCGAGCGCATGTCATTTACGTCCGAACTAAATTTTCTGAGCCTATGTCATGTCCGAGCCAATGCGCCCGATGGTTGGTCATGTCCCAACTAAAGAGTCTGAATGAGGACCTTGTACCCATGAAACTGTAAAGCGTTGGTCCTGTTCCGTCCAAAGCGCCGGCGGGCTAGTCATGTCCCGGCATGAGTGTCCAAAAAATTGTCATGTCATAACCAAAGTGCAGGATGGTTGGTCACGTCTGGCAAGTGCCCGGGCATCAGTTATGCCCAAATTTAATTATCAGGGCGTTGATCATGTCCGAACCGAAGTGCTCTGGCGTTGGTCATGTCCATTTTAAAGTGCCCAATCGTAGGTCATGGGTGAGGCAAAGTGCCGAACGTTGGTCATTTCCCGACCAGGGTCCAACGTTGGTCCGAGCGTTTGTCATTCCCGAACCATAGTGTCCAGGCGTTAGTCCTGTCCAAACCAAAGTGCCCGGGCGTTGGTCACGTCACGACCAAGGTGCTCAATCGTATGTTATGTTCAACCAAAGTGGACGGAAGAGGACCTTGTCATCACCAAAGTCTAGGGCGTTGGTCATGTCCCGGACAAAATGCCGGCGGTTTGGTCATGTCCAGACAAGGGTGTCCGGGCGTCTGTCATGCCCGAACCAGTGTGTGGTGGTGTTGGCCATGTTTTGACAAAAGTGTCCAGAGAAGAACTTGTCCGGACCATGGTGTCCGGCGTAGGTCTGGTCTGGTTCAAAGTGTCCGGGCTGATATAGCGTGCCAAGCAATATGTCAGGTCTTATATCATTTGCCGACCAAATTGCACGGGCGTAGAATTAGAGACTTGCGGGAGGGCCGAGCCTCGGCTCGGCTCGTGGGCGCTGCCGGATGAGCGAGCTTCTACCGGTACTGGCGCGAGCCGAGTCGAGCCGAGCGGTCGTTTAACGATGGGCGAGCGAGCGGCATTCAGAGGTCACAAGCGAGCTGAGCACTACTTTCTGTCCCTTTGCTATTTTTTATAGAACTTCTAGCAATTTTCCTGCAAAAATGCCCTGTTACATCGAAAGTCTACGTTTTCTTGGCCATATTAGACCAAAATAAGCGTCGGCCGAAATGAATTGCGGCCGAAGTGATCGGCGGCCGACGTGAATGGCGGCCGAAAAAGTTTGGCCGAAATGAACACGGCAGAAGTGATCGGTAGCCGGCTTAAATCATGTCCCGACCAACAGTGGCAGGGCTTAAATCGTGTTCCTATCAAGGTGTCTGACTGTATTACATTCTTTAACTACAGTTTGAATTATCATAAAACGATGATGAAGCTAGAAAAAAATCTATTTCTACTTACATGTGCAGTTATTGGAATTTGCGCGGATTTCCTCGCCGGCTGTGTTGACTGCGGTAACATTGCTGCCGCTGCTGTCCATGGAGGTATTACAATCACTAGTGGCCGTAAGATTGTCGGGGAGATCCGAATAAATGCGCGATAAAGATTCTCCCCATTCCGTAGTCGCCACGCATATAATCGGCAGAATACGGCTAATATTTGCTATGGGGCAACTCAGCCGAGATCCGCTGACCGAGCATTCTCTTAGTTCCGCATTTGCTTAAGATAAATACTGCATGATAATTACTCGGTACCTTGCGTAGCTAGCATTGTTTACAGATACAGTCACTGCCCGAAACCTTTCGACCCCTATACACGGGATTTTAAAATAACGTGGACTTGAGCCATGTAATACACTTCGACACGTATCAAATGCTAATGCCTTAAAGGAATTTTTAAAAAGAATATTGAGTGTGAGGAAAGCTAGAATTTTGTTTTAACCATAGAGACTTTCTAGTTCAAACGATGGAAAACCCCTTCGGCATTCAAGTGAAAAACTAATATCTATTTATTTAATGAGACATGCAGTAGTTTTTAGAAGAAAACCGCCCTAGCTCAGTTGCCTAGAGCGCACAAAGTAAGAGACAAATCAGGGAGAAAGTTTAAAAACTGCTACATTAACGCTGAATCCGCGCTTGTAACAGACCAAAACGTCCGGAAAAGGAAGACGTCCGGCGGACGTTTTGATCGTTAAACCGACCAAACCGTCCGGGGGACAAAAACCGTGCGTTCGAAATGTTGCCCGCCCAAATTATTCGCGTTCTTGATGCAACCCGTTGTTTCTGACAGCTTTTTCTACCCGGAAACTTTGGGCGAAGCACTATTAAAGCTCGGACAATTTGGTCGGAGCACTACTTCAGCAAGGACACTTTGGTCGGAGCAATCTAAATCCGGAAAGTTTGGTCGGAGCGCTGTTTTAGCCGGGCCGTGCAAACGGCGACCCGGCCCTCTTGCTCGGCCAGGCTGCACCGGGCCCTGCCGACCGAACACTACTTACGCTTAAACTTCTCGTTTCCGGATGGGCCTGGTATTACAATATTTATTACAATATTACGGTAGTACAATTTGTTAACAGTGACACTATAATACAATTGCTATAAACCGTAATGTATAAATTGATCTGGTTGGTTTTGTAGTTGCTGAAAACTTAACTGTGATAATTTTAACCGCGATCTCTTTGGCTTTGTTGATTAACTAAAAGTTTTAACTGCTATTAAGGCTTCGGCGGTGATCAGTTGTGATCTATTATGGGTTATTGCGTAATTATTGATTAATATGTCTGTCATTACACTAAGATCTGTACAAGCGTTACTGCGCGCGATTTATATGCATTGCGCTGAAAGCGGTCGAAAAGTTTCGGGCCGGGCTTGTAGCTTTATGGCTATCAGAGAAATGTGTGGGATGACGTCGTTAACTTAATGCATGTAGCAATTTACCAGAAGGGTGTCGGTTGTTGAAGAACCACGTGACGCATGCATGTGGCCGGCTAAACACACTGCACATGAAAACCACGTGATCAGGCCGAACAATTAGAGGCGGATCGACAGCTGACCAGCGAAGAGATTCTGCGGATAAACAACACAAAACAATTTATTATTGTCTTAAGATGGTAACAAAGTAACATATTACCTTTTCTTTATTGGGCAAAAGCCATCAATACAATAAAAAGTGCATACGCAGAATACTACGCAAAATGATTCACATTTAAACATTAAAAAAACAACCAAAATCGTTAGCGCTGTCAGTCATTTTAGAACGCATACCCAACGTGCCCAAAACAGCGGCAGCATTTCCTTTTACAACAGCTAGGCTAAATCTCTGCTTTAAAAATGCGGTAGAGCGTGGCTGCCCTGTCGCGTCGCGAATCCTTCTGCCGACGAAACGAATAAGCTCCGAAAATGCCGGGCCAAAAGTTCCAAAGGTCTCGACCGCAAGGGGATAAAGAAGATATCCCATTCTTTCCACAAAGGCGTATTTACGACGTTTACTGTCTTCGGCCAAGAGCGCAACACTGCCGGATGCACGTAACATATTAGATTAAAGTGTGCCGGTGCTCATTGATCACTATAAAATAAAGTAGCCCCTGTCGCTGGACACCTTAAAGTTCTCTGTAACTTAAAGTGCGTTTTGTTTTCAGCTTATAGATTGTCGCTGCGTGCAGAGTTATGGATGTTCTGTATATTAAAGGAACCCAGAGAGTTCCTTTAACTTAAAGAACACTTTTAAATTTAAATCTGTTAGTGCGTTTGTTAAAAGTGAGCAAAACACTTGAAGCTGTGCAACGAGAGGTGCTATAGTAAGTTGTTGTCCGTAAAATACTTTAGGTCAATGTAAAGTACTGTACGTAAGTTAAAATACGAATTTGTTTTGTACGAGCCAGTCAGCAGACTCTATGTTCAAAATAGGCACAGTGGGTTAATATTAAATCCGCTGTGCTGTTGGTTCATAACCGACATAACGAACCCAGTGTGCGAAAAGGTCTCTGTAAGTTACAGGAAACTTTCTGGCTTCCTTTAAGGTACTGAGGGTCCATAGTTGTGCAGTTTGCCCGCAGTGCAGCGCTTGCACTGGTTTCGGACGAAGACCGCGCTATTTTTTATGCAGGATTTTCAGCTTCTTTTGTTCCCACTCGCACGATTTCAAAGGTCCGAAATTTTGAAATAATTTACTGCGCGAAACGGTTAGCATCAGCTTATGAACGCCTTACAAGGGGAAAAAGAAAGAATGGAATAAAAAAAAACTGCCAACTGCAGTGTGAGAAATAAATACTGTAGTACTGCCCTGTTAGCGCTTCTTTGGTAGCACTTGCAGCTGTTTTTTATCTTTAAGCTCGGACACGGTGGTTACAGTGATGCAATGCGGCTACGGATGCTATGTCCGCCATTTCATCGACGAAAATTCGTCGATCGTCACTTCGTCCAACTACCGTTTAGCTAAACCATCTCCGTTTTCTTAGTTTTCTTGGGTCTTATGGTTCTTAGGTTTTTTATCCGTCGCCCTTGTGACGGTCGACCTTGTGTCGACGAAGGGTCGATGAGCGGCTCGTGCGCGTAGTTGCAAAAAAAATTACGACAGCTAGGAAAAACTCCGCAGTGCATTATCAAACTAAATTAATCAAAATTTGCTGGTAGCTTTTATTAATATTTCAGTATTTATTGGCTTTACTTACGAGCCAGTATCAGAAGATAGGACTTCTCCTCGTGTTGTAGCACATGGTCAGTGCATCGGACAGTCATCTGGGTGTCTTGCACTTGCAGGTCTCGCTCAAATAACGCACGAGTAATCACCACACTGCATCGACTGCCATCAGGATGGTCATCAGGTTTGTGCAGTGGTTTATATTCCGAGTCGGCCCATTTGCACCCATGGCCTACGGATGGCGCCATAGTGTCGCTGGTGTTGCTGACGCTTCCGTTGCATGCTAACTGGAAGCTGGCATTTTGGTGGACATAGATACGATTGCCGGCATCGCGCACCACCCCGTGTTTACCCACAGGCTTCGACTTCCCGTGAGTGCAGCTGTCGGACAGGGCGCCTAACGAACCAATATTGGGTTAGCGAACTAACATACTCGTATACTCGTATTAGTACTGACTCAGCAGTCATTAATAATACTACCTGCTAGCAACACTTTTTAAATTGTTTTTCAGTGTTTAAATTTGAATCATTTTAACTGATCAGTTTTAAAAATTGATTTGCATCAGTTTTAAAAATTAAAATGGTTTACGCTTGTGCAGTGATATTTAAATTCCTAGTTTTTTGTTCTAAGATGCTCAGCAAAATATTAAAGGTCACTTCTATGCCTTCATTATTTTATGGAAATCTCCACTTATGTTCTTAATTTGGTTGTAGGAAGTTTATTGTGCGCTTAATTAATCCATAACACCCATCTGTCCACGCGCCAGGAATTTTCCGGGCGCATAGCACCTTCGAATATTTAAACAATACTTGCATTATTTGCTGAAATAATCAGCTGTTGACCAATCTAATCTGCAGTACCTGAAATACAGTAGCTATGGCCATTGGAAGTATGCAAACAAAATAATTGTATGCCGACAATTTTCCTTGAAAGAATATTATTCCGAAAGTCCACTCTCTCTTTTTCATTATAAGCAACGCAACGAAGTCATCGTGCCGGAAATAGATTTGAAAATGCAAATCGAATGCGCCATAGCGCCGAAAAAAATCTAATTATAATAAACGGAGAAGAGCGAGTGCAAAATCTTAATTAAATAAAAGATTCTGGAAAACACGTAAAGGTCATGCAAAGTGAGGAACCGATTCTTATCTAACTTTGCTGACACCACTTGTCAAACAAATTCAATAAATCTGTTCGGCAATTATACTCTGTTTACGGCCATACCAGGTACGGGCTCCAAATTCATTTTTCCTATTTCAGCGCAGCATAAAGGAATCGTGGTGCTCATGGCAAGGAGCAGAAAACATCGCACGTCCATTTTTCTAAAGAAAGGAACGACAATTATTGCAGAGGTTATTTTGAAAACGTTTCGACCAGCCAAAATTTGGTTTGACGTTGCCGTAGCCACGTCGTCATAAAAAATTTATTATCCTGCACATATTTATATTTTGTCCTATCTGCTACGTTTTAACGAGGTGACCTCGTATACGTTCGAAATTCGTATTTATGTTATACTTATGTATGCAGCTAATTGGCATATATCAAACGTTTTAAGGCTGGAAAATTCCGTACATCGCAAATTAACTACCATTGCTTAAAAAGATGATACAGGGCCCATTTTCAATAATATTATAATAGTACGAAGTGATTTCGGGGACAGTGTGTTTGTGCAGTACAATGTTATGCTTTATCTGGGTATTTGGCTTATCAGTCAGTGATGCAGCAAATATGTAAAAATTAAAATTATCATTACACAAATGCAAACGTCGAAAGCAAAATATAAATATTTAAAGAAAGTCAATATTAAATACTGAGTTTTCGTTTCCTTAGCCGTTAGGCTAGCGATAGTTCACTGGAAAAAGAAGCCGATTAGGAATATTTTATGCATTTTGAATATATGCATTTGCATATTTTGCATTTTTATGCATTTTAAATGTTTTAGCAAAAAAAGAATATTTATTAATTTATAAAGTAGTCACTGTAAGTGTTATCAAAGCGCAAAGGTCCCGGTAGAGATGCGAGCAGTATGTACTCAAATTATTAGCAATATTTCCTTAGTATTGACTGCCTCACCTTACTGTGGGAAGAATGACGTCGTGCAGAATTCACAAAAAAACGGGCCGATAATCACTGGGCAATATGCGTGCAGATGTGGTTGTCTTATTTCTGCAACACATAACACTTCGAAAATTAAAATTTCGAGAAGCACGATGTATGGAAAAATCAGGACTGGCAGTCGTGTCCACAAATAATCACCTTTGCTGCGTCAGGTTGCCTGGAATTGGCCAAACTAACTGTCAGGTAAACGGTTTCCCATCGGGCAACGCATTCGAAAAACGTCAGCTTCATGACGACGTTGGGCGCATCCAGGCACAGTTCGAAGTTGACTTCGAACGGCAGCACTGGCCACTGAACAATAGAATGGAATGCCAAGGAGGAATTTCTTGGCACCGCACGCTGGCGAACATCCCCCCGATTATACCGTTCTTCGAATTTTACGGGCAGCCTTAGAAACTGCATCAGCACATGAGTACTGTATCACCCCAATATACGTACGAGTACTGCTTTAACCCACCAAAGTCAGCTACCTGAAGGAGTGCGAATAGCGATTTGAAAATTGGTGTTTCGTAACGAAATAATTTGATTAAGGAAAATTAATTTTTTGGGAATTTTCGTGACCATAGGTCAAGACGAACGATAGCTCGCCAAACTGACAGGGATGGGCATCCTGTCATTTGGCAGGTAACACGGCGAAATTTCTAGAAAATTACAGAAAGATGGCACTGCGGAGAACAACCACTTAAACGAAAGGTTTAGAAAATTCCTACAGTTCTCAAACTTTAGAATGGTCATCAAGATGACCAGTGGTCAGCAATACCAAAAAATGTTAATAAATGCATTTCTGAGCGGCAACTTGTTAAAAAAGATACGATGTGCACTTTGCTTAAATAAAGAAACGTACAAAATTATCCTGAGTCGGACAAGAGCGGCAATTTGCATCCTTTCCAGTGAATGTACGGTGTTTGTCTCCGAAGCCCGTGCTTAACTGCGTGTTAAGAACAGTGTTGCCCCCCTTCGGTGTTCCCGCTTCCGTTTATTCGTGGACTTTTGTGGACTTATCAGTGCGTAAATGGTACACTACTAACACTCTAAGCAGCCTACAGTCTGTATAAGCAGTCTTTGAGCCGAACACCCAAGCGACAACCCGCACAGTACTACCATGGCAAAATATACACTACGTGATAGCAATGAAATTCTCTCTCTGTACTCTTTCAACCTGCAACCGATGTACGCTCCAATCCTTAACGAAGTAGGTAAACATCGCTGCCCTCCGTCCGTTTCACTGTGTGCAACTGTGAACGGCCGATGCGCAGCACTAGCGCTGACCAGGGAAGTTTTGACGTAGCGGCAATGGGCATCGAGCAGTCGCGCAGGTGCACGCGGCTGGCTGAGCATATGTGCAGAAACGGACGGAAGACAGCTTTGTTTGCTCTTCCAATTACGACTGGCGGTCATCATTTTCAGGCGGTTGATTAAACAGCGCTGCTACCACGTAGTGTAGTGTTATGCCTTGGTACTACCAACAGTGTGCGGTTTACGGCGCACTGGTACTTTATAATTTATTTCCACCTGGTCATTTCCGCTAGAGCTCGGCAACTCTCTAAAGGTGACACAGCGGCTGAACGCAGCAACCATATGCAATTTGTGAGAAGCTGTATAACTACGTTTTTACATAAATCACGTTCACAATAATTCAAATGGTACCGTTCCGCCATATGCCGGACAGGCCCGGACTAGATATAATAAGTATATCATTGTTTTCAGAATGTACATTAGGGATAAGTCTCCAAAATTTCGTTGCCGAAATACGAAAACACTTATCTCTCAGTAATTAACGTTCGTTTTTACAGTTTACACTTTATTATTGTATAATTGTACAAGTTTTATCATACAAAAAAGTGAATTTTCCAGCATTTTTTTGATTTGCTGACCACTGGTCATCTGAATGACCATCAGAACACTAGAGTTGGTACTACTCTTTTTTCTTGATTTATTGAATCTAAGCTTGGTTTTTCATTATGTTTCTAAGATTTGATATGGAATTTATGAGATTTATTGTTAAAGTTGCACCATGCCCATCCCTGTCAAACGTGGCAGGAAATTTTCGAATGACCATCTTTGTCCACTGTCCAGCTATTTTTTGGGCCATGCAATGCTTTTGCAATGTGTGCCACAGGGTGGGTTTCAGTGAATTATATGTGAATTATCGGGTGCTGGGGAGGCCGTATGTACAGCCAAGACCTCCGCGAACCCCAAAGGTGTCATTTTGGTATTCTTTGGTCACTTGCTGTGTGGCCACAAAAATGTTGAATTCGATGGCCAAATTTTTAAAATGACCAGAAACATTCCTACTCTAGAATAGAATCACTAATAACAAGTTTACTGCATTGTGGGCCGCTACAGGAATTAAGTCCGCCACCCTGCCATTTGACAGGGATGGTCGGGAACGGGTTAAACCAGAGAACTGTACTGCAATGTTCACTTTACTTTTAAAGCATTCTACAAACCTTAAAAAAATATTCCCGCAACAAAAATATTCGGTACAAAACGTATCCAATAACTGTACCGCATTCTCACAAATCTTTCTCAGAAAGGCAGTCTAAAGATTTCATGTAAACTGTAAAAGAGTTTTGCATTCGTTGAGTTTTTAACATATTAACACTATTTGTCTGCTATATTTAGTATTTTCGTAGACTGCGATGTTAAAATATGCTACACATGCCGCCTATAAATAGCAATTTTAGTAGCAGTAGTTTCCGACAGAAAACCTTTTCGGTGGATACTAGCTGTACTTTATTATGATCTGCATAATATTATGTAAGTGCAGTATATCTAGATATAGTTGAAGCGCTGTCAGTAGATATAATACTCAGTGATCAGTACTGCAATATCAAGAAGATATTATTATGAAAGGAAAACATTATCTAATGTTAATATTAATTTCCACGCATAATACTGGCAGTTTACTTGTTAGCTTCCTACTCATATGCGTATTGTATAAGTATATATACTTGTACAATGAATGACTGCTGATGAATGACTGCTCTTTTGCGTCGGTTTCCGGAAAGCAGCTTCGCCGTAAAACGCATGGATGTCAACATCCAAAATTTGCTGCTGAATGCCGCATGCTACGTATTTAATGATTTGATGATAAGTTGTTAAAAGCGTTTCTATTCGTAAAACATTGGTTTTTGAGTATTAAACGCGTAACGAATTGAATTTTCATTGTTAATGGCATCGCCGCTGTGCTTTAAAACAAGCTCGCTGCTATATACCCGAATAAATATATTTTACATCGATTACTCATATCGAAATCGGTCATTTTAGTAGAAATCTAAGGGTTAATACATGGCCTCTAATATCTACATTGGATTCAAAAGCTACCAATAAACTACAAAGGACATTCCAAAAATAATTTTCCCTATTTTGTATCTCCCGGCATTAACGCATTCACCTAATATCATCCATATCGTTACAAACGTCCTTCATTAGCAAAATGTATAAAGAAATTATTTTGTTTAATTACAATCAAATGGGGAAGAAATGCCAAAAAAAACACCACAGGGTTTTCAAAGTTTTTCACGTGAATTTCCCGGACAGTTTTTGCTATTTTTCGCAATCTTTCTGCTCATTTTCCTTGATGCATAAAATATACTTAGATTAAGAATTCTTTTCTCTTACAAAATAAAGTTCTGCACAAAATGTCCTATTCAAACCACTTTTCTAGAAAAATAAGAACGGCTTGGGACTAGGTGTCAAAATCAGAAAGCATCGCAGCATCCAGACGGTAAAAAACAGAAAATTTCATGAAAAAATTTGCTGTTGTCGGTGGAATGCAAACTTTCTTGGTATCTTAGATGCGCACGACTGGCCATAAAATGTGCTTTTTATCGATGGGAAGCATCATGAATTTATGAAAGCGAAACGGCTGGAATAAGGGAGTTTCGGTGTCTTATGAAAAAAAAATGTTTACTTTTAATCCTGAGCTTTTCAAAATGTTCTGCCATCGCAGTAATATCAAGTACTAAATTTCCAGTTGACGCTTTAATTTTTTTGTTGAAAACATTGCCTGGTCAGAAGTGGCAATAAAAAGAATAATTTTCCAAAAAGGTGCTGAAAAAAGTGCAAAAGCAGCATTCACCATTCCGTTTTTCGTTTGGCAAGTTCTTCTTCGATTCTTTTGATTCTTATTTCTTTAGATGGTTTACATAATGGTTTATCCAGCAAGAATTATACCATTTGTGTATAACCTAAAATCGCAGGGAGACAGAATAGGGAAAATTATTTTTGGAATCTCCTTTGTATATCACATTTCTGACGAGGGGTAGTGTATAATACAATACTTGTACAGAACAATACTCGTAAAAAAATATTACAAAGCTACAAAAAAACAATTACTTAAACGGTGGCACGTACGTATCTACACATACTGGTGCAGTTTATTTTTTGTGAGTGCACAAAAAAACAGAAGAAACCGCTTCGCCTTGCACTGTATGAAAACTGCCTAGAAAAAAACTGTATAAAGCACAAAAGATACTAGACGCGCACGTTCCGGGAAATTTTTGATCGTTGATCGGATGTGAGATGCTCAACTACTGTAAAAGCATGAAATTCGCCCGGAAGGAAAAGAAGACGCAAATTCTTCAAAACTTCCGGCACAGTGGAAAAATAAATTACCGGTTTTTCGGACGGAGGTGTGACCGGGCTTGAAGAATCAAACACGCTTGCTGCAACGTGTAAATCTATGCACACCATGCAGGCAGTTTTGATTTACATATATGTAGCATACATAGCTGTTTTATAGTCAATTAACTTTCCATTCTTCTTCTGCATCGGACGTTGCAACGTCACTTGCGCTACAGGAAAATTTACATAAATTTACTTTCATATTCTACGTTTATATGTGCTCGTAATTTGTTGTTAATGGCGGAATTGATCGTCTTTGTCAAACCAGGGGAGCCGAAATTCGATATATCTGTTGTAATTTTTGCCTTCTTACTTTCATCTGTGCTGTGCACTAACCGATATTATGGATCTTATTTGCTCTTTGGAACCGTGAGTATCCTAATAAATTGCCGGACATAGTGATATATATTTTGCTGTACAATGCGTTGAAAATATGGTGCAAGCGCTGTTACTACAGTATTTAGAATTATTATTATCTTAAAAATCTGCAGTGATACGAATCATAACGTGATTTCGTTATTCCATCGATCCTAATTCGTCTTAAGTATATCGCAGCAGCTGATTCCGTTTTATATGCACTATGTGGTTTTTGGCTAGCCTAAAACCGATGCATTTGTGCTAAGGGTGATGATATTCTGGAAACGGTACATATGCACGGAGGAACAACATCGCCGATACATAAATGGAATCTGGAATGCCTAGACGGTAAGTGGGAATCCGTTTTTGGAGGTTTAGTACTGCTGTATCCTGCAAAGATAACTTTGTAATCTATAATTTTGCAAAATATCATTGTGTACGTTGTCACACCCGTGCTGAACAAGAATTTGGAAGTTTGGAATCATGCACTTGCTTTTACCAGCAGACTATAGTATGTACATTTATTTGCTCAGAGTTTAGTAAGCAACTCAAGGCTAAAAAACGAAACTTTTCAAACTGACTATAAAAGCTGTAAAGCGGTTTGGAGTTAACTAACATAAAGGCAGAATATTTTATACCAAAATACCCATGGATTTAGCACCTATTTCTTTGCTCTGTTGCCTGAAGGTTTAAAATTTCTCCTAACTACATTTACAAGACCTAACTACAAATTTAGAATTTCTGCTAAATTGTTTCTAAGTATTTAAATAACGCTACCAGAATTAACTAGATATGTCGTTCAGGAGGATGCTTTAATCAGTTTAAATATTAAACTGTTGCACTGTCTCTGAAAAAATGAAAAAATAGAGAAAATGGCTGTGTAAGAGACGCCTGACTTTACAATTCAAGTTCATGCAAAAATCTAATGCATGTGCTACGATAAAGAGACACTATGTTAGTTTGCGCTAATTGTTGTCGTCGGCATTATACGTGAATCAACAAAATCACCGAATAATTGTTATTTTGTTACCTGTCTGCACGATCATTGACCAATCATATAGGTATATGCCGGCACGGCTGCGGCGGTTTTTGGGAAGTCGATAAACTACTGAAGCTTCTAAAACAAGAAAAACAACATAAGGTTACAATACCAAAGAACTTGTTTTTATAGGAGAAGCGATGATTGGTGTGCGGTAAGTCATAAAAGCACTACCATGCACATTATTTGTAGCTAACATAGTTAAGTAATTCTTAAATTATTTTTTATATCCCTGTACTTGTTAGCATATGCGCAGTATCTCATCATGATTTATTATTTAAATTTTATTGCAGCGACACTGCCGATGATTTTCAGGTAATTACTCACACTCCGTTTGGGTGACAATATCATTGATATTGTTATTAATTTATTATTATCATCATTAGCAATACTGTTATCGTTCTACAGTAGCCAAAAACACCATCAACGGAGGTATTTTACCGTTGCTATTAACTTTTTTATTAATTTCAAAATTTGATACTTGTTTTGTTTCATTTTATGAAATAAAAAGATTGTCGTACTTCATGTAAAAGCACTGTATTCCTGTAGGAAAGTTGCTGTTCATACGCTTAAAATCGGTTTTTATGCCTGATCTGGTGCAACTGTCTGGTTTACCAAAAAAACTATTGTCAGAAGTTGGATGATTGGTTTTTACAAAAATACGTATTTACAGCAAAATATCTAGTTCTGGTACCATTGCAGAGAATACAAGGATTCTGGTGCAAGTATATGTTCCCGTATAAACCTCCGTCCTCCGAATACCCGTACTATGCTGGGTAGGCTGGGAAAATTTATTTAATTACCCTTTGACTTTAACTTGAGATTGGTTGGTCGCCTGCTAACAAACAATTTTCTAACTGCAGGTGTTACGTCAGAAACTTTACGACGCATGACTTCTGCTACGACCCCGCGATGCTCTCACTTCGCCCAACACCTTCATGACAGGTACAGCGAGTGACCTTTAGCCTTAACCTTTCCTAATGTACCATCACAGCAATGCGTATTACTGCAGCGTACTGGGATAATGAGTTTCTCATGCAAGTCTGGCGCATCACCACCGACTACGTGCAGCTGTTCAAATGCTGCGCCACACCGGTTAACTATTACATCGACTATATGTCCTGCTACTACAAAATGACGCATGACCAGTACTGGGAGTACTACGATCACGCTATTTTCCTGGTATTTTGCGACACAGGATACGTGGTAAGGTGTATTAAGAGGGAGCGGATTCCCGAATGTACATAAAGGTCCCAGGGAACATGTATAATATATGTACCTGTCCTGGTGACCTTTATGTACATTCGGGCATCGGCACTAACAGTAGCCCTGAAAGTATGTTCTCTGTATGTGCAAGTATCTACGTACTGTATCGTACATGTAATACACAAAGGGCAGTCAAAAACTGAGACAAGCACTCCCTTTATGTGCCGCCTGTCGGCTGGAAGCATGGGGCTTATATATACCGCGCTGTATTTAATCCATATGCTCTGCCGCAATGTCATACACCAGCCGGGCGAGGCAACATATACTGGGATTGCTCCTCTGTCGTTGATATGAGTACTGACCGACTACCGAGCCTAGAACAGCAAGCATTTCAGCTGGACTCTGACAGCGCTGTTCTCTTTGTACAAACTGGAGGTGGTCACCGCTGCCTTTACTGCTCTAGCCATCCCACAGCTCACCTAAAACATGGAGTACATAATACGTATTACGTAATACGTAATACGTATTATGTATTCTATATCACACAACAGCGAGGGTACCACTGGCATGAAAAAATATGTTAAGCTGAGTGATGGGAGTACAGGAAGCGGGTTATACCTGCCGGGCGATGGTGAGTCAATCGCAAGTGCACGGTTGTGCGAATCACGTGCCCACCTCACATGGCAGACACGACGTGTGCACGTGTAACACTCATTCTACTGTGTGACTGATGACAGTCCTTTTGACGCCCGGAAGATCGATCCCGATGACGAACCCGGGTATCGATCGGCTACTTCCAAAAAGCGCTAATGTTTCCCGTCGTGTGCTCCAATTAGACCAACGTTACCAGCAGGTGTGGTCAGGTTGTCGTCATTGCAGATGACCGGCATCGGGAAGAAGCACAATCCCTACACCACGGACATCCACGTCGATTGGATCCAGTGCTGTCGGGTGGGATTCGGGGCGGGCCGGCTGCCTGTGGGGCATCTGGCCGAAGGACTGCATGATTACGGGAAAGGCTACTCCTCGGCGGCGGCGGCATACGGCAACGCCACGTCGCGATCATCCGAGAACCACCTGGAAAGCATACAGAACCGTAAATCACTACCTGATCCAGGATTACATTTGTCAAAGTTGTGAGATAAGTTCTGGATGCCGGTGCGACGGCAGATCACATATAAAGGGTCGTGCGCATTTGTGAGTCAAATCCAGTGTGTTCTTGGTGGTGGCAGTTGTGTGCTACAAATGCGACAATGGTAATAAGATTTTCCCTTAATCCTAAATCCTAACGTACGATGCGTACGTTGGCTGTCGGCGGAAAAAGGCGCGGCAAAATGTCTTAGAAACGCAGCGTCAGCAAATTCAGCAAAATGTTATTGCTAATTACGCTTATTTATCGCTGATTTATTTAGGACCTTTGCGTCCACATTGCCGGTAATTCGTGATCAAAACACATGGGCTATTTTTTGCTAGTCGAGCGCGAGTCAATAAATCCCTCAACTAAACTGATTGGATTTCATTTTTACTGATGCTCTATTGATCACAGATAAAATTTTTGAAAAATAGTGGCGTAGTAGCGCTATATTTTGTAGTTTTTCTTTCTGGATAGGCGATAATGCACATAGTGGCCATACAATGTTTTTCGTTCAATGCTATCAAATCTGCAACGTAATGCGAAACATAGTTCCTGAAGAAATTATGCAGATTCCTGAAGAAATTATAGTTACCTGAATAAATTATACAGTAATAATACGGATTATTATTCTGTACTGGACAAAATGGCAGGCATTTCGATGTAAAACCTTTTTTGGCAGTCCTCGGCAAATAGCCATCAGCAGATCGACAGAGAGTGCAACACCATGCAAAACATGAAGTATTATCAAATAAGTTTTGTTGATATACCTTTTGACTGTAAAACGTAATAAATTATTGTATGATAGACATTATTACCTTGTTTTACCTACTAGCTTGTAAAATTATCAAAAATATTTGGACATTGTTAATATAACACGCACAATTAATTCTTCTCGACACGCTAATCGAGCTAACAAGTTAACTGACTCCAGTTACAGAGTAGGCTTACCTTGCCGACAGAAAGCGTAATTGCCTTTATACTGGCAGTATGTACAGTACACTTGTGCAGTTTCACCCGATTAATAAAAACGAGGAAAAAAACGGGATGAAACTCAGGACGGTATACGTGCTAGCGCCATCCCACGTTCCGGTGCATGATTATGATATACGTAGTGCACACGATTGTAATCGAACAGCGGCTGATGACTACAATACATGACGATTTACGTCCATGCTGTTGGCGGATCATTTGGCGGCTAAGAGTTGTTTGATCTCGGCGCAGTTGTGCCGGCATCCGGAGGTCACCATCCGTCAAGCCTGCTCGTTATGAGGCATATTTTAAAAAAATTAACGTTCTTCTTTGCACAGTTTTACGTTGCCAAAATCGGTCTGAATCATCGTGCCGGCACTTGAAAAATGGCCGGTAGATTGGATAAACCGCGCCAATGGAAGATGCCGCGTAAAAATAAGTGTATACACAGCAGCGCCGCGAGGAAGACGAGACTCTGTACTACCGCTTGACCTCCGCGCATGTGGCATGTTGATATTGTACTCGCGCATTAAACAAAAATCTGCACCATCACTGTGGCTACCGCATCAACTTATCGCAATCAGCCATCGATTTTTTTCTTCACCACAAATGCCAATTATCATTCGATATGGCGTAATAATTCCGCATAAATTTGTTAGTGTATTGTTCGGCAATTTGTTGTCACTTTTGGTGTAGAAAATTGGACTATAAGTTTACATGTTTTATCTATGGCTGGAGCGTTATCGGTGGATGTCTTTCGCGCTACAACTATTTTTATTGCGATATGTTGTTTGGCGGCGAGGGTGTTTTGCACCAACAGATATTATGGATCATATTTAACGTTTGGCACGGTGAGTTGTAGTTTTCACTGACCACAGCTTGATGCTTTTGATGCTTGATGCTTGATCAGTTGCCTTTCCTGTAACGGTTGTACTTTAGTATGCTTGTAATCACAACCCTGCCAATCATGGCATAATTGAGATTAACGCCTTCCAAAATCACCAAGAAAAAGGTTTTGTCAAAATTTTCTAAAATTCATTGACAAAAAACCGTAATATGATGTGGATTAGTAACCACCAAATTAAAAAAAAGCGTGAGCGGTTAAAGTGTGATAATTGCGGCGATCGTTATACATGTAGTTACTGGTACAGTGTAATATATATGAGTATATGAACAAAGTTTTTGTACTTCTCCGGTTTGTAAGCTTTTAACTTTACCTAGCATTGCTAAAATTAAAATTTTAAAATAACTTCATTTAACTTTAAAAGATCTGTATGGCTTTCCTGTGATTCTGTATTAAGTGTTATAATTAGGGCGATGACATTATCGAAACGTATCATATGCACGGTGGAACCACATCACCCATTCACAAATGGAATATCGAATGTCTGGACGGTAAGAGTGGTCCGGCTGTTTTTTTAAGCATTGCTTGTTCACTCTATTTCTGAAAAAAAAAATTTATTTCCTAGAAATACAGATGCCTCCGATCTTTTCACGCTTTTTTACTTGTTTTTATAGGAGAAGCGGTAATCGGCATTCGGTAAGAGCAACATGAAACATTTTACTGCAAACCACAACAGCATTTTAGTAAAGGAGTTTGTATAACATATAACGAAAGAACTGAATTGCAGGGACACTGCAGATGATTTTCAGGTGAGTACGCATTCCCTGATAGTGAATGGAACACATTCCGTTATTTAATCTGAAAAGCCTACTTTTCGATAGAAATTAAGACTGTATTTAAAACAGCTCAATATGGATTAAGTTTTTCGCACTTTTTTTCCGATATGTTTATCCCGGGTCTGTTTGTGATTGGCATTTGGCAGCATCCAGAGGAATTAAATACATTACATACATACAGTACGGTATTTGGCCAAGTTGGATTTAGCCAATACTTAACCGGCTACATTGGCGGTTAAGTATTGTCTAAATACCGGTGCCACAGCACTGATATATACAATTTTGTACATCAATTATTTCTTATAATGTTATATGGCATATGCAAAGTTTTGAACTGCCGTAAATTATATCTGAATGTGCAACAACGTGCGTAGACGTTCATACTCGTATCTGTATACTATCTGGCATGGTTTTAATACACGTATTTTACATCGATCGTTTATATTTTCAACGCCGCTGCAACTACGACTTATTTACCTTGCACCGTATGTTGACCGGAAATTTTTATGGTTTCTTATCCAGAGAATACAAGGACTTTGGTGTAAATTCATGTTCCCGTATAAACCGCCGTCATCCGATTATCCTTACTATCCCGGGTAAGATACAAAATTAATAATTATGACAGCATCAGTATATCATTTAACAACGCTTTGCGGATATATATTTACTGAGTAATTTGGGTTGGCATTTTTCATCGTTATAGGAAAACACCCATAATTATAGGAGCAACAGAACGTTATCTTTATAGAAATAAGATTGATTTTTTTTATTATAATAATATTTTATATATTATTATTCTTTATAATGCTGTGTATATAACGGTACAATGGTGTTACTGCGCAGGTGCTACGTGAGAAACTTTACTACGCATGATTTCTGCTACGATCCACGTGACGCCCTGACGTCACCCAACAGCTTCATGACAGGTGCACACGAGAACCGTCAATAATGTCATTTTAATCCGGCTTTGCGGCTATATGGAAAAGATTCTGTACACGTACGTGTAAGTACATCCAGGGTCATGTTTTTCGCTTAGGTTTATGGGATAACGACTTCCAGTTCCAAGTCTGGCGCATCACCACCGACTACGTGCAGCTGTTTAAATGCTGCGCCACACCGGCCAATTATTACATCGACTACATGTCGTGCTACTACAAAATGACACATGACCAGTACTGGGAATATTATGACCATGTCCTCTTCCTCATGTTCTGCGATACGGGCTACGTGGTACGTTCATAAAATCGGCTAAGTATACTTGTACACTAATGCATTACTGCTACTGTCACACAGATAACTAGTTATGAACATATCTGTACATACGATACATCGTACATCGTACGGTGTTTATGCGCTTGAAACGCCTTATTTATTTATACTGCAGATTTATTGTTTTTAGGTTTAATAATATTGTTAAGAAATATGATGCAGTTATATTCTTGTTATTCATATTTCAAAGCCTCTCGTTATATTTATTTTGTGTTTTTATATTTGCGGTAACTTTACCGTACATGAGCCTGTTCAGAATTTAACACGTAACTACACAGCTTCCACATATTGCGCGAGCTGTTGGCCACTACACTACAATGTTCATAATGACGGATTTAACATCCTAAAGTCTAGAGATTAGTTTCTCAATAATTAAATACGTATTTTTTTAACACCTCCAATTTTACTTGTATATCATTATTTAGCCCAAATGCATATAACGCGCAGAACTTGTGGCGCGGCGCGCCGGAGTGGGCAGTTTGGCGTATCCCGTGAAGTTATTTTTCGCTATACCGTTATCTATATTTATTTCTGTTCCTCATCCGGACGAGCTTGTGTAACTGTCATCTGTATATCTGTAGGTACCGATATGGACTTTCCAGTACCATTAATATGCACTTGCTCATTCTAATAATATTAACTGGCGCTTTCATTTAATATCTGCTCTAAGCTGCGGTATATAACAATTATTTTTTCAAGATTTTCGAAAAATAATTGTGAAAGTGTGAATTTTATTTTATCTACCTTTAGACAATTCTATCAGTTGTACTTATTTGTATTTATTTATCGATTGTTTTGTACCTTCATATTGTATACAATTTTATTGCATCTTCTTTTAGAGTGCGTTTTTGTATTTATTCCTATGCGTGTGATGGAATAGGTGACCGGACTGGGTAAAAAGCATAATCCCTACACCACGGACATCCATCTGGACTGGATCCAGTGTTGCCGGGTGGGTTTCGGACCGGGACGCTTCCCGGTGGGACAACTGGCCGAGGGTTTGCATAGCTACGGCAATGGATCCGCGGCAGCCGGCTACGGCACGAACCCTACCTACCGCTCACTGAATGCGAACGCCCACAATCTACCAAATTTCAAATCTCTGCTCAACAACCCGAAACTGGCACTATCCAAGCTATAACGTTTATAGACACTACCGGTATTTCTGTGGTTTAAGTTGTTCTTGTTGCAATTATATTTTTAAAAAATGGTTGAAAGTTCGAGAGGGTATCATAAAACGCCTATGGAGTCCAAAAATTAATTCGTTGAAAAGCATTGGACCCTAAATTCGTCAGTATCCTTAGCTACTATAATTTGTATTCGAGTCGGATACAGTATTATAAGCGCTTATGCATCCCGCGCCTGCGTTTGACAACTGCCACCGTACTACGTTTCCACACCAACTTCGTTAACGGTATGAGCGAAAATACATGAAAAAAATTTAACACGTTTATTAAATTAATTTCACAAATTTAATTTAAAAAAATTAAATATATGATTTTTAAATTAAAACAAATTCCCGATCAGTGCGCTATTATTTTGCTATCCTAATGGAAAATGGTAAGAATCGCAGCGGATAATTCCGAGTTTCCGACGAATGCACAATAACATGTTATTATTCATTGCGACACAATAAACCTGCGCGCGCGCGCGACACAGAGAAAGAGAGACACGAATAGCATCCAGGTCAAAAATTATTACAAATAATTCTTATAATATATATAAATATCCATTGATCAAAAGTGAAACGCCTATTTCGTCCCGCCAAGAAAAACACACTATAAAACCATCCTGCATCCGTCAACACATGATCCATTCGCAGCGCCAGCAGTAAGATAATGAAGACACGCAAGAAGAACAAGAAAAAAAAATATTAAACCAAAAACCTGTAACATCAGCTCAAAATCAAAAAAAAAGAAAAAAACCTCATCACACAGGAGACCGTCCGTCCCGCCCCGCCTGTATAAACACCGCCCCTTCCCCACCCGGAGCCGGTCAGCACGAACCCTCCAGAAGAAAAAACACCAAAATAACACACACATCGCCGGTAATTTTCCGCAATTTTCCAGTATCAAGGCACAAATCGGCGATTTTCCGGGTATTTTTTCTTCCATTTATAATTTGAGTTCATTGGTGATCTTGGAGGCGATGTTCTTGAAGCCGAGATACGTGCCGGAGATGCGCTTGAAGCGCACCCCGTTGAGCTGCAGCCGGGGGAGTTTACATACCTCCATCTCCCACTGGACGAGGGATTCCGTGTTGGGATCGCCGTGGACGCACATTAACAAGAATTTCTCCTTCTGCTCATAATCGCAGTTGTTCATATCCAGCACCTTCTTGATCTCCCGCATCATATCCTCCGGATTCATCGCTGATGTGGTCTTCATGTTCCAGGTGAAGCGCAGGGAGCGCGGCTTGGAGGATACCTGCAAACCATCACGTCAACAAGCTGGAAAAATTCCGTGAAATTTTTCTACAATTTTTCCACTACAACCTCCCCACTTTGTCAAATAAGTGTATCGGGAAAAAAATTCTGTATGTCAATCATTAAACGGCAAATTTTGAAGAAACGAGATCAATGCCGGCAAAAATTTTTGTAAATTTCCTAAAATTATTTCAGCATGAAGCTAAACGGTAATTTTTTTCCGAGAATAACAGTAAAACTATTCAAATTTCCATTTTTTATCTGCTCAACATTTGCAGGACGAATCCCGGAAATCAGTTTGTTTTGTAACTGCTTCCCTTCTTTTATCCTACCGACAAAACCCTATAAAGAGCTGGCCATGAAATTATTTTTAAAAAAAAGCTGTTTCAATCATTTGTAATTATCTCAAGTACTACTTCGACAATGTCATACAACAGAAACCATGTTAAAATGCCTTAATCATCAGAGCCATTGGCACGCACTACGCTCTTCCACCCGTCATCACTCTTGTCAGCGATTAATCAAAATATGTAAATGCAGAACAAAAATCAGTACGCTACACAAACACCGATTTTCACAACAGCCAGACCTTTTCAAACTGCTTTGAATCCAATAAAAACAACAACTTTCTAAATCAGTAAATTAATGACTCTCCCTAATAAACCAAAGAAAATATATTAATTTTTAAACAACATATTAAAAGAGGCTGACATATCAATAAATTAGGAAAAAAACAACCAAACGTACGCATGACCAGCGCTTGACCGTACCTGATCGGGCGACTGATCGGACAGCGGGAAGGTGGGGAACGCGCCCACCCCGGCGGCACTATCACTCCGTTCCCGCTCTTTCCCCGCCTCCCGTCCACCTCCTCCACCACTCATCCCGCCGTCGCGCTCCCGCGCCGAATGCAGACTCAGATCGCCCATCATCTGCGTCGGGCTCTGCGGGACACTGGGCAGATTACTGGAATGCACACTGCCGCGCTGCTTACTGAACTTGGACGATAATTTACTGAGGAACGACGCCCGGCCTTCTTGTTGGACGGCCTCCCGCGGCACCCCGTGGTGCATGGTCGGCGATTCGGAGCCGGCGGGACGGCGCTGCGGCACCCCGTGCACCGTCTTCCGCCCGGTGGCGCCGCGCTGGAAGTTGTGGGCCGGCGCGGACGCCGGCGTGGGGTTCTTGGCCGTGGAGGTCATGGTGAGGTTGGGCGTCCCCGGCGCGGCGCTAGCGGCGACCGCTCCGGCGGTGGAGGAGCGCGCGGCGAACACATCCATGGGGACGTCCTTGGGGTGCATGGAAATGGACTTGGTGGCCGTGACGAAGGGCTTGGCGGAGGATTCCGGCTGGTACTTGGGGAGGATGGAGCCGCGGTCCTTCACCACCGATCCGGTGGTGGTTTCTACAGAAAAAAACCGCGAAATTTTATAAAAATGTAGAAAAATCGAAGAATTAGGGTTAGGAATAGCAAGCGGCGTACTACGGTCAGTCATGCTCGGGATCTGGCTCGCACCTGTGCCTGTCCGCAGGCTGGGTCCGCTGGGGGTCTTTCGGACACTCCCGGCCTTCGCTACCGTGGACGCGCCGGTCTTGGTGCCCTCTCCGTACACCGGCAGCAGATGCCCGGGCACCTTCTCCGTGGGGGAGCTGGGCGTCGGCACGCCCTTCCCCGGCGTCGTCCCGTTGAAGTTCTTGACGCTGGCCCGCGGACTGGCCGTGTCCTCCACGCCGCTGGTGGTGCTGGAGCTGCGGGAGGTCCCGGTGGGCGGGGCCGGCGTCCCTCCGGCGCCGGTGATGGTCTGTGTCAGGCGGCGCGTGCCGTTGGTGGCCGGCGCCTGGTTGGTGTCGCCACTGGGCCGTCGCGGGGTGGGGATGGCGGAGGTGACCGAGGAGGCGGCCCGCGTGACGCCGGACCGGGTGGTGGAGCCGCCCGAGGAGGCGGATCCGCCGCCCGTGACGCTGCTGATGGACTGCGGGGTGGTGTCGTTGCGCTGCAGGGACGCTGAGGTCTTGCCGCCCGGCTCCGGCTCCTCGGAGGGGCGTTTCATGCGGAAGAGGAGGAGATAGATGGCGAACACGTCGTCGTATTTCATCTCCCGTAGGGAATCCTCGATCTCCCGACGACTGTAGCCCATCTGGTTCAGTTTGGCGATTCGCTCCGGGTCACATAGATCTGAAATTAAAATAAAAAATTTTTCCAATAAATTTATTATTACTAAATTAGCAGTAAATAAATTAAATTTAAATTATAACTTTGCTACGAATTCAAAAATCATAATACACCAATTTTTTGTAAATTCAAAAACATCTTTATTAAATTTATAACATTCTGTCACTTCTAATTTTAAATTATTATTTTTTTCATTCCAAATATATTTGAATTTGGTAAGTAATCACATCGGAAATAAAGGTAACACCTAAAATTATTTAACCTCAAATCAAGATCACAGGGAAAAGATATTCACAAGTGCAGTATTCCAGTTTCAACTTTTATTTACTTTAGTACAGTAATCGTTTTTTCAAATATTAATGTTACTAAATTATCAGTCAGGAACGAGTAAATACTGACCAGTAAGTTCAGAAAGGAATTAATATGTTTGTTAAAGCATCGGCTAGACTGAGGAAACAATACGAATACACAGTGTATGGAAAATGTAGTGGATTGGCACTCCCCAGGAGCGTTCGGCAGTTCGAAACTTCAACAGCGGAATGCAAGTACAAAATTACCGACTGCGATTAAGAACTCTGTTTAAATTAAGAATCAACATTTTTTCACACTTGCTTGTGCCTCTTAATTAATTTTTGTTTTCATAATTTTCTAAATATGTATACTGCCTACTCCTTCCAGTTATTAAGTAATGCTGGTAAACTTGTTCGGCTCGGCAAAAATTAGAATCTGATAAAAAAGAAGCGCGGAACATTTACAACACAGGATTCTGCTGTACATATTCTTATTAACGGTCTAATTAATGGGAAATGTGCTCGTACCGGTTTCCGGTTCCACGTAGGGCTTCAGCTCATCATCCTCGTAGCCGATGTTCATCCAGCGATCCTTCATAATGGTCTCCAGGGTGGAGCGTTTGCCGGGATTCAGGACGAGGAATTTCCGCAGAAGATTCTCACAGTCCGTGCTCATGTAGAAGGGAATCCGGTATTTGCCACGCAGCACGCGCTCCCGCAGTTCCTTCAGATTCTGCCCGTCGAACGGCAGCGAGCCGCTGACTAATGTGTACAGAATCACCCCCAGACTCCACACATCCACTTCCGGTCCGTCGTATTTTTTACCCTGTAGCATTAACAAACAAATTTAAGTTCGTCGTCAATGCAACAAAAGAAAGGATGCTAAACAGTGCAGACAGATACAAGAAAAAAGAAAAAAGAAAAGAAAACGGCAAGAAAAAAATTTTCTGACTCAGCAAATGAGCAACGGTAAGTTGGTAACCCATAGATTAATACTGAAGTACCCGTAAGTACTAATTTTCACAGATTTAAATGGCTACGTCCCCTTATGGAGCACTGCCACTACACTACACTCTCCCACGGAATCATTTCAAATGCAGATATATTAGACAACATTTCCAAGAATAGACAAAATTTCGAAGAAATACGGGTAAGATAATAATTAATATTTCATTTAAATACTGATAATAATAATCCCTATATAAATTAAAAAAACTGCAAAGTAAGAAAATCACAACCGAAACAATTACACTGAACAGAAAAGCTTTCTAGATTTTCCACAGTGATGACGCATTTCCCCAGTGAATAAAATCGGTAAAATATCGAAAGCATAATGAAAAATTGCGTGAAAACCGCAAACAACCGGCTAGTAAAATAATGACAAATTCCGCTAAAACTCCAGATGAAGAACTTTCCAATGACAGGAAACACTCTGCAGCGTACCTGAAAGAGTTCGGGTGCCGCGTAGGGCGGACTGCCGCAGAAGGTGTCCAGCTTATTCCCCGGGCAGAATTCATTGCTGAACCCGAAATCGGCAATCTTAATATTCATCTCCTTATCCAGTAATAAATTTTCAGCCTTCAGATCCCGGTGGATGATCCGCTTCTGATGGCAGTACTGCACGGCGCTGACGATCTGGCGGAATTTGGCGCGCGCCTCCTTCTCCTTCATGCGGCCGTGCGCCACCAAGTAGTCGAACACTTCCCCGCCGCTGGCGTACTCCATCACTAAATACAGGGTCTTCTCCGTGTCGATCACTTGGAACAGTTTCACTGTACACACAAATTTCACAGATAAAACATCTTTCTTTCATTAATTCCATCCTTTATTACATACCGATGTTGGGATGATCCAGCATCTTCATGATCCGCACTTCCCTGAATAACTACAAAAAAAGATTACAACGATCATTCACCAGTTTCTATCTCGCTTGAACTTGACTGAACTGTGTGTTTGAACTTGACTGCAGTATTTAAATTGCAATATTTTTTTTCACTTCAGTGATTAATTTTCAAATGCTAATGTTACCAAATTATCAGTCAGGAACGAGTAAAAACTAACCAGTGAGTTCGGACGAAATCACTTGTTTTTATAGAGCAGAATGAATGGAGCAATACAAATATGAAATATATGAAAAACGTAGCGGAATGGCACGCTCTAGGTGTGCTTGATTGGAGTTTGTACAGCAGAACGCGTGTTTAAAATTACCGACTGCGGCAAAGTAAAGAACGAATAAGCATTATTTTCACACTTGCATGTGCCCCGTAATTTTTATTTTCATAATTCCCGAAATACGTAACTGCTTGCTCCTTCACCATTATTAACGCTATTCGGAACTCGTCGGCTGCCGTGTAGCCGTAAAATCCCACTGCAAATGCATCCATCGGATGATCCCGAAAATTCCCTAATAACACTAAAACCCAACGAAGCACACTGTCATCTCCCTGAGCAATCTCCTCCCGAACAATGTAACCCAACACAACACCAGACACCGAGTCTGTTATTCTGCCGGGGACGTAATGCGATTAGCGCGGGAAAATGTGCCATAATCGCATTACACTGTCTCCGTCCCCGTGAGTGGCACTGTGCTCTTAAACAACAACAGCACACGGGCCCGCGCTACATCGCTGACGTCGTGCCCAGCACAATCACCACTTCCGCCGGAAGATATCCATCAAAAGATAAACAGACTTTTCAACTGTCTCCATAATGCCCATCCATTACACGCATAATCCGCGCTACACAGCCCTCCAACAACTGTCATTTCCCACTGGCTGACGTAACCGTCGTATATATGTATCAGTATATGCGTTTATCATGAACTGACTAATCGAGATGGCATCAACTGCCATTTTCCCCTATCATTATTACGTAAACAAAAGACCGAAAATTTGTCAGCCGAAAAAATTCCTCCTGAAAATGTATTCAGCTACAAATAAATTTACTCTATTCACGATAAAAAATTAACTAAAAACCTTAAATAATTTTAAAAAGCAGTAAATAAAATCACTACCACAACGCATTGCCGGTTATTTTCTTAATTTCAGGATTTCTGTCAACTGATTTTGTCTTTCAAAATTTTCTCTTCAATTTTTTTTAAGGATTTCCGGTAAAGTACTGCATTTTTCACCGCGAAATTTCTGTTGTCCGACATCAACAAAAGAGCGGTAGACGTCATTTAAAAATTATCCAATGGACTTTTGAAGTTTCTGAAAAATCGTTTCGGTCAAAAATTCAATTTTCTCAGACAGTTTTTATTTTCCTTTCCCATAGATTTCTTGAGCCGTTGTTTTAGATTTTGGGCTATAATTTGGCTACAATTTCAATAAAAAATTTTACAGCTTCTCGCAAAAATCCGGGCTTCAGAGCGAAACAAGCGTCTCGCGTTTCATCCGCGACATATATTCAATCGATACTTCTTTTTAACGCCGACCGACTCAGGGTGTGCCGGGCTTGTCTTTTCCAGCTCGGGAGCAGCTCTCCTCGTCCGAGACAGTGGCTGCTCAGTCTGTTCTTGTTGATAGTGATTGTAGCTGACAATCCATCCAGCCAAAGCACTTGGCTTTCGATGGATGGCCAAACACACTCGCTTCCTGCGCATTCCCCACCCGGCAGCCAGCAGCTGACTGCACACACAGGACGGGATAGATCTTCCCTGTCAGACATGCGCAAGGCAATTTCCTCTCGGCACTCTCCCTTCACCCCACCACAATACAAACATATAAACACACTTTCAATGCCCCATTCTGAGGCATTCTCCCTCCAACCATCACATAATTCATCCGTCTAATTTATTCGCGGACAAAGCATTCTACCACTCACGGAAGGAAACGTTCATCATGCGCGATGGTGTAAGGGTGAAGAAAAAATCATCACCGGCGTAGTGCAGTGGCAAAAAGTAAAGGTTTCCCGCTGTGACTAAATTACATTCACGCCATTTATTTCAGAGACTTCATATTCAACTACAAAGCTAAATGCTACAATTTCGAAGCAAAAAATTTTTGAATCTTGAATAATTTTTTACCGACTGCCACTATAAACTGCGCACTCAAAACGCAACCAAGTTTATAGACAAATTACCTACGTCTGCGGAAACGCTACGAGTAGCATTCCAAATTTTTAAAAATTAATTATTTGTAATATCTCTCGACACAAAGCGTTTTTGGTTATCAAATTTTCAACATGATAAAATCGACAAAAGTTCTAATCGCAGTTCGGCGAAAAAGGTCGTTGAACGCCGTGCAATTACATCATAATTCCAAATGCAGATAAAATCATAAAATCTAGTCTAGCAACAAAATCTAGCATCAAATATTTTCCTAATTTTAATAAAATTCCAGCGAATTTTAGAATACCCTGGAAAAATTACAACACTACAGATATTAGAGGAAAAATTCCAGATTTACAAAACAAACAAACATGTTCGGATGAAGAATGTTGTGGGTGGGTGGGTTCTTCTGGGAAAACCTGGTGCTCCCCATTAGCCAAGGTGGAGTCAATGGAGCATGGATTGCAACCGGCTGGGCCGCGCTGTCTCGCTGACTGCGCCGAATGTTTTTACGACGGAGCAATCCGAAAATGCCGTCGGCCACAGCCGAGCGAGCTCTAGCGATAAGTGACAGATATAGCCAGTACTTTCGACCCCATCAAGCAAATGAGTAATAACTCTGTAGACCCAATGTAAATTACACCTCTTGCGTCCTGCTTAGCCACTTTACAAATTAATCCACCCGGAACAAATCATCACTATGATTATTTTCTTCTTCACAGAAAGCATGCCTGCTCCCGGCGATCGCCCACGTCAAAAACCGACAAAACACGTCTAAACAACAACAAAATTACCGGAATAAACACAGCTTCTTATTTTCGTCACCATAAAAAACAGAGATTCCTGGAAAAATCCGAAAAAAATCAAACCGCATAATTTAGAAAAATTCTGAAAAACAATACGTCGTTTTGAAATCACAAAACTACACACTGTTCATTCAGGAATTTAAGCAATTATAGAAAATTATTACGTTTATGAAAACATTTTCAGCGAAACCCGAAAAACCGAAATTCAATTTTAAAACTACCGGAAAAACAAAAATTTTCTTAATCAATTCAAAAATAATTACAAGCACACAAAATTGTTCCCATGCAAAATTTTCACCAAAAAAAAATTAAAGGGCATAAGACAATTTCATAATTAACTTCAAAATTACTGAAAAAAATGAAATTTCGAAAGCAATCCAAAAAATTCCTGTTTAATTTGAAAAGTCCAAGCATCGAAAAAATTGTTCCTATGCCAAATATTCATCCAAAAATTCAGAGTAATTAAACGGTGTATTTATGAAGAGTCATGCCATAAGGTGGTAATAAATGCGCTAATAACTAATAAGGGAGTCAGTGGAGCATGCTCGCACCGGGCCGTTCCCAAACACCGCCAACTTGACAGCGGATAATACTGCTAAAAAACCAGTTCAAGATGCGGCCTGAGATGCACGTCGAACGGACAATAAAAACAGCACCTCCTTTCTTATACACACCGTCAAACTGCTTCAATCGCTTATTCACAGTCATGGCTGCCTTCAAAAGCCCCAAATCATGCTGACGCGCGCTCCAAGTGCCGGTAAATTCAGCACACGGTGCTTAACGCAACGTCTTCCTTCGGTTCTAATCAACCTGTTGAGAAACTGCATAATCACCTATTTTCCGATAATACGCGTCACAAGTGCTTAATTTTCATTCGCACGCCAATATCGATCCCCAAAGAAATTCCCTATTTGCATTGGTTAATCATAACAAACAATATGCATTTCTGAATTTCCCACTGTTTGTTCTTTGCAAAAATACATCACGCTTTCGTGCGCTTAAATTTTTTCATTATTCAAGATCGGTATCTCCGTAACATTTCAGCCTTCGGGGAAAAATTTTGCTCGACTTTTTGTTAATGTAAAATAATACTTCACAAAATCTCCTGTAAAAAGTCATCAATTCCGCTTCGTAGTAAACTTCTAATGTTTTCAAGCATTTTTCCTAATTCTAATTTTTCAGGATATATTTATTTTCATATTTTTCAGGATATTCAGCATATTTTTTTCGGACTATTTATTTTTGAAATTTTTATTTTTCAGGATTTTATTACAGTAGTATAATTGTGTTCAGAAACGTCGGCCATTTTTTATTTCTTGCTGCGTAAGTGAATTTATAAAAAAGGCAGCGTAAGTAAACTTCCCAGCCATATTTGTCCACTTAATAGCTCCGCTTTTTTTTGTCACGAAAATTAATTATTCCATTTATATCCGGGAGAGGAGAAAAGCATGCCAAACTACTTGACGACACCGCGAATTGCACTCCATCCAAATACATCCCCAAACCCACGCACACACCAACTTCTGAACTTGATATCACCGGCGAAAACGTTATGGCCCATCTTGGCCCGCGGCCAAACGCTACCATTTAAAACACGATAAATCAAATTAAGTCCACTGTACAAAACGGCCCCGTCTACACTAACAACACACAACCCAGTACACCAAAATCCAAATCAGGCCATCGAAAGCGTTTGCACTCTCTCCCGACAACATATGAAACAAACAGTCCCACATCGCTCCTCCACGAAAAGCCCCATTAGCTGTCTTTAATCAAACATAATCAGTTCGTGCAATCTCCGCACTTAAGAAAGAAACCGACGGCCACGAGAAAAATCGTGGCGCTTAAAGAAATCCTCTTTTAATCCTCAACCAACCGGATGACAAGAAAATTCAGAAAATAATTTTAAAAACAATGAAAAACATTTCCCAACCCGGTGAACAAATAGAAAAAAATTATCCACCAACAGAACCAACAAAAAATAAACTCTTCATAAAGATGCCCAATTTTCATTATTTAAATTGCCGATATTTTTGGTTTCACTTAAAGGTCGGAGTATTATAAAGGTTTTATAAATATTTTTTCCCGAATTTCTGGTTTCATGTTTTTATAAATGATATCAAATTTTATTTCCATTAAATTTATTTAGTTATATTAATAATATCATTTTTATCGTTATTTTCGTTTTTATTATTTTTATCATTTTTTTGTCATTATTTTCGTGGATTTTTACGCTAAAATAACTGCATATAAAAATCGAGGAAAACTCAAGGAAAAATAAGCAAGGAAAAATCTGGGAAAATCACAGCGAGTTTCGTAACAATTATTCTTTGTAAGTGTTCCCAGTAAAAGAGGTCAGTAAACTCAAACAATAAAGCCGCATAACCGGGGATCCAATTTCTCAAACGCCGAAAAACATTTCAATTATCCGACTGAATACGAAAATCACGAATAATGCGAAAACAATCCATCCCATCCCCTGCCTGAACAATCTCGCCCCGTACTGTGCCATTCAAATGTTGTCGCATCGTTCGATCAACAGCAAACAACACATGTCGGCGATGGACACATTTTTCCTCGTTTAACATTACGCTCAAAATGCCAATCGATAGGCAATGCCACTCTTGCGATCTGTCTCGGCTCAATCTTTCTCTCTCAAGTTCTCCAGTGTAATTCCCGATGTTTCCCTGAAATATATACGCAGTGTGCGCAAATCGCGCACTTCCACTCCTTCATTTTCTCATTTGCAATCCCAGTGAAGGGAAAAATCGCAACACGATCAACACCGGCAACGCGTGTTTAATTGGCACAACTTATACACGGGGGAAAATTGAGCTGTCTCTAATTAGAAACCATTAGAAAAAGGCCTCGACATCAAAGACGTTAAATTGTAAACCGGCAATTTTAAATTCCGGCTGTCTCACATTGCACATAAAACCGGCATCATGGAGCCGATAATTTAATAGGAAAAAACACGTGTACGAAAATAAAATCTGAACACAGTAATAAAGTTAAAAAACTGCCAAAAATAATACATAAAAATAACCTAATACTGTACATGGCAAACTTTCTGCCAATAAATACCAGAAAATAAAAATTAAAGAAACTGTTACAGAAATTTTCAAAATAATAAATACAGAAAATTTAATATAGAGAAAAATTTATTAAAAACAGAAAAGCAGAAAAAATCTAATAATCAACCAATAAAACAGTAAACAGAAAAAACGCTCCGATTGGTGTCAAATTTTAATTAGCTAATTTGACGCGCTTTACTGCAAACCCGGTTAATCAGGCGAAAATAAATGGTGTAATTATTCAAGCAACACCAATTATTTTTAATCAGCCCACAATTCCCGATTATTTTCTTGTGTCAATATTTTCCTAAAGCTTACACCAGAATTGAACGTCACAGAAACAACCACAAAAAAGTTATTTAACACACCGTTCATCCGGCGCCTAAGAAAACCCGTCAATATTGACAATAATGTGTACATCGCACTTTTTTCTGCTGGTAACAAAAGTCGTTTTGCGAAAAATCGATTTGTGTTGAGAATGGCGACTAGTGGAGACTGAACGACACACACACACACCGGTAACACCGGATAAGGTTGCAAATAAAATGAAATAATCAACGCAAGAAGGCAATGGAAGCGCACGTAGCCGCAAGGAACCTGATCGTTGAGCAAGAGGAAATAATCAGCAAACCAAACAGCCCCGACATGACACATATCAGCAGTGAGCAACAGCCCCAGACAACTTCACTCCTCAAGGACAATGCAAGACCATACACCACCGTTTACGCATCGTCCATGATACGTAACGGAACCATTGTGCTGTCTGTGTTTTTTTTTCTCAGGATGACGCTGAATATAACAATATTCGTCAATTCCCAACCCGGTCTGTATTGACATTCGCCAGATAAACGACGTAATCGTTGCGTAAATGTATGCTATCATTACAAACAGCGGTTGAAAGTCGCCGCCGTATCTTTACGGATCTTGCGTAATTTCTACTAGCAGCTAGAATGTCAGAACAGTTCGCAAATTATCAGATATTCAAATAATTATTTTTCTAGAAATTAAAATAAACAAAAAATCGCACTCAATAAAACCCCCGATAAAAAAACATTATTAGGGCACGCGAAAAATTTATTTCTGGTTTTACCCGATTAAAAGTATTTTTTATTACTTTTAAAAACAACTTAACTCTCCGTTTTTTAACGTCGATTTATTAACATGTTATTTATTTTTGTAGTTTTAACAAATTTTCCGATTTTTAATAAATTTTTTTTATACCAAAACTCATGAAATAAAAATTCGTTCTCCATAATTTATAAAAAAAATTACTACTTCTACTGTCTACAGTTCTACTTATTTTTAATGGGAATTTCAGTATAACAAAATCTCCACACAAATTGTAGAATGATCTGTGGTGAGTTTTCTCCACCCAGGGTACGGAGAAGCGAAAAAAAACAGCCCTGGTCAGCAGAAAACGACCAGCAAATCTCGTCAACACAGCAATTACTTCTCTGGTGGGGTTCCTTGCAGCGCACACAACTGGCTGACACCAGCAGCATCAACCAAATATATCAACTTTTGTCACCGCCACTGACACCAATCTGACGCATGGATGGAGCTCGGCGCTCTTGCCAAGCACAGTCTACAAGCAGCGCCTTGCCGTGCGCTAATGTTCTGTAATGCACACTGAGGCTCTGACCGATGCTCAACTCAACCACAACGCCCCCATACAGACGGAATAACTGGGTTCCTCGAACTAAACACAGAACTACACAGCAACACAACACACGCTAATAACAGTCCGCGATACATCGGCACGGTGCGTGTGCGCTTGTTGGCAGATAAAAAGAAAAGCTACCCCCAAATTTTTACGGGTGTTGAAATGTAAATGTGGCAAAACGAGACATTTTCCGAAAGATCAATGAACGCGTAAAACTGCAATCAAAAACTGCGGCAAAACGCATGAAAGCACAAATACACCAGTGTGTGATTTTCCCGACCGAACCAACGTTCTCACAACCGCCTCACGTAATCGCATTTTCAAACCACAAATTAAAAAAAACTGAACCCGAGAGCGTAAAAAAATCGTTTGAAATTTTCCCGAAAAAGATGATAAAAAAATTCCCCAAATTATCGGCAAAATTCATCTTAAATAAAATTTCACAACCAAAATTTCACAACCCAATTTTGAGAAATTTTTACCGAAAAAATAAACAAAATACCGAACAATATCAACCAAAAATTCCAACAATGCAAAAATTTCTAAATCACCAGCAATACATTTAAAAATAAATAAACATGATAAATTAAAAATAGCTAAAAATGGTTAATTTTAATGGTCGATTTTCCTTACCTTCTGGAGGCTTCCCGCATTTAACTGCGTCTTATCGATGATCTTAATGGCCACTTCCTGGCCGGTGGGGAGATGCTTGGCCAGTTTCACCTTGGCGAAGTTCCCTTGCCAATAGTCTTGACCAGCCGGTACTTCCCGATGGGCTGCTCCAGCTCCGTCCGCCGCGAGGGTATCCGCGATGAACTGACATCCGTGGAGCGGTGCGTCGGCGCTTTCTCCTTATCCCCCGACGCGGCCGCCGCACTACTGCGGGCCGAGGGGGTGGGCGCGGTGGGGGGCATGGGGGTGGTGGATGTCGGGGTGACGGCGGCGGAGGGGCTCGCCGAATCCGGTGTCTGGAGGTTCAGCAGATCGGCCAGGACGGGTACGGGGAATGTCTGGCCTTCGGGGACGGTTTGCAGCGCCGGAATACGCATGGATGCGGGCTGCATAACGCGCCGCTCACGTCACACACGCATGGGGATCCTGCCAATAGACAAAAGCAACCCCCCGGGGTGGTTACACGCGGCGGGGCTTATCGGACGGGCCAGTGTGCAACGCATTTACGGCGGACGGTGAAAAATGATAACGAGGATCGTTAAAAAATCCGTCGGGCAATTTTATTTGATAGTGACAAATGGGAGAATTATCGCGCGCCGTAGGAGCAGCGTATAGGCTGGCACAGCAGCGATAATGTAGAATAAGGGAAACCTGTTTTTTTTGAAAGCCTGGCTCATTGGAAAACACTTAACACTGGCAGCAAAAAAATTACTCACGACGCCACTGAGAGTGCGTCGTAAAGTGCTTTATGACGAAGATTTACAATAGATTAGAAATTCAAATGCGATGTTTATGGTGCCTCCCTTGAAAATTCAAGAAATGTCCGAGACGTCTTAATCGACCTTGCAAATGGGACGCAGAAGGTAATAAAATGTTATGTTTATCGAAGATCATAAAAAGGGAAACCGTAATCAGCTTAATTTGTCATATTCTAACAGCAGTAATTAACAATTTCAATTATTAACCAGATCACTGTTTGCTGGCTTTTCAAGTTTTCACTCAAAATTCCCGATTAAATTAATAAATCCATCAAATTCGGATTTGTGGTGGCTAATCAAACATTCGTTATAATTCAAAATAATTTTACTGATTTACATCATTCACTAGAAGTACTAATGTTAAATGGAAGGTTAGATAAAAACTACAAAATTAAATTTTAAAAATGAGATTCTAAATCTAAAAAATGCAAGTGAAAACTACTTAACAGTTAACACAGAAATTTTTACGATTTTTTTTACAAATTTCAAAAACCTTTAAGACTAATTTTCGTTTTACTTTAATCCTGGAACTGATTGTTGTAATAATATTAAGCGATAACTTAACTAAAGTACCACAATATTTTGAAATCGAAAAGCATCCTGTAATAGTTAATACGACCTTGTTCGTAAAGCTGCTGAATTAATTCCTACCTGCAATTTGTGGCTATTAAAATAATTAAATCCAAATATAACCACGATGTAATCCAGACCAGAAACAGATGACGCTCAAACAGGAGCTATAAAGATTACGCAATGATTCAGATATTCCCCTCAATATACTGTAGTCGGTGGTGTAAAATTAGATTATCCAAACACAGCCAGTCAGGACTAACGGAGCGTACAGTTCCATGCGTCGGCCCACAATGTCAACACGGAGGCGGATTGCAACAAGCCTCTCCTTATCGCTGCTGCTGATCCGGTGGGGGACGCCAAAATGTATCCGCCGTCGTGCTAAATGTGCCTGGTAAAACGATCACTCCTCCATAATTTCTTCAAGAAAAAACTGGGAAATGCAGTGTAGAATCAGGGTGAAAATATTGTAGCCAAACACCCGTCAAGAGCTCAAGGTTGACGGTGCAGCGTTGGTTGCAACATGTTAACGAAAGAGGAAAAGAGAAAAAAACGGTCTCTGTTGGCTCCGCGGCAGCGCACGTCTCGCCTATACGCAGTGAATGTATACGCTAGACGGGGTCGAGTCTGGGTCAGCATAGTCGAGTCACGGTGAGTCGATGAATCACCATTTCTGGAGTTAAACTGCCGCCCTGCCCGGCTGCGCTGGCGTTACCATCAGATTCGAATTATGCGACACAGGGAAACGTTTATCCGCGCACTCTTAATATAGCCAAGAGTTACTACAGATTATACGCTGATTTATGAAGGATTTCCCTGTACAGAGGCGTTTGGTAATCGCCTAAGCTGTCACTTCCGTCACGATTCCGAAGAAGGTTGTGGTTTTTGGATTTTCCATTCGAAGATTTTTTGCGCTGTTTTTGGTTTCCAATCAGATCTGAAATCAATCTCAGATTATGATGAAATCGACTGTGCGTCTTTGAGAATTCCTAGTTTTTTAAATTCCTAGTTTTTTTTAATTATTTATGAATTTGCGTTGAACGGTTTTGCTTACAGCCATATTAGACATGCGAGTTAAAAACGGATAATTCACATTTGGTGTGAGCAGGCTGAGCATCTCTGCTTCGGTTCGTTTCTTGGGTGGTTGCTTCCGAATTTTGTTATCCGTTTCATCGTGGTCTTGCCAAATTAACTCTTATACACGGTAATTTCACCCGTCAAGCTGTAGTATATTCAGTTGTTATAATTCTGTCTGAGCCAGCTCTTTCGACGATCTAAATTTGAGGTTCATAGGATTGGATTTTCTCGAGTATCGACTGTATCTTTAAGTTGCTGTCTGGAGTCACCCGTGCCCAGGTGTGAACCATTTCCTCACGGATCTCATGGAAGACCACACCTCTGAATCCGCGGGCATGTCCCCGGAGCGTTCCGATATCGGCGCGGACGCCGAGCGCCGTCCCAGTGATGCCAGCACGGTATCCAGCAGCTCTGATGATGCCCTGATCTTCTGCCGTCCCCACATCGTTCTCGATCCCGATGAGCCGAATCGTCTGCGCTGGCTGATGGAGAGCACGTTCGACTGGGTGCCCAACACGTTTCAGCGCGCCTGGGAGGATCTGATTGAGGAGCGTAAGGGAATATCAGTGTCCTGGATGGATACGTGTTCGCCGTGGATGTGTTGATGTGGGAAGAGGGCTTTCAGAAAATCAAGGTAAGTTGGTCACTGGGCGCTGTATTGAATTAATTGGTAATTTTTATTTAGCGACATTGAAAACAGGGACTATTCGTTTAGATACTATAAAGTTGTTTTTTTAACTCTTGAAGCAGTTTAAAAGACTTAAGTTTTCTTTTGGTTCCGAATAAATTAAACTCAGTAATTGGTTCTGTAGAAAGTTCTCTGTAAATTATAACTGGATCAGTTAATTCTGATTTCGCTGGATTCAGTTAATAATGTTGACTATTCGTTGGTCCTTTTTGTCTGAAACATGTGATACATGATTGGTACAACATCCATTAAATCTTTAATCAGTAAGTAAAATAATAATCGTTTGTGATTCGTTTGCTGTACATTTTTGCTATGCTTTAGGTGGAGGATTCAGAAACGGATACGCGTTTCGTGCGGCGTTCCTTCTACTCGCATCTCTCTAACCCGGCTCCCTCTGCGCCCTATTCCTGCCTGCTGGTCTTCACGACGGTGATGAGTGGGCAAGCCAAGGGTGTGATGATCCAGTCGGTGGTGGCGGAGCGCTTCAAGCACGCCCAGGAGACGGTGGACAGCTCCGGGAGGATCCGCTCGCCGGACGTGCCGCCGCCGTCCCTGAAGATCCCCCTGGCCGCCCGGCACTGGATCAGTAACGCGTACAGTGGATCGCTGCGGAATAATGTGGTGGAGATGTACCGGGATCTGCATCTGCTGGCGCGGCAGGTCAAGGATGCGATTGTCCATCCCCTGAAAGCCATAATAGCACATGGTAAGAAGATTGAAGATTGAGAATATTTGGGATAGTCATAGGTTGTTTGTGGTATTCCCCGTGCAACCATTCGGGTTAGGCAAGTGAATCTTAAAAATTTCCTGGATTTTTTGTTCGTAATTTTGTAATTTCCTGGATTTTTTGTACGTTATTTTTCGGCATATGCAGATTTGAGCGGCGTTTTGTCGTTTTCACGGGACTGATTGCTGCGATTTGATTTTCCATGTAGTATGCGGTCAGCAATAGGCGCTTATATGAGTACTGCGTCAGAATTTTTTTTAGAGTAGTTTGTTGTCTGTTTATTAAAATAACAGTGTATTTTAACGTGCTAATTTTTCTAGTTTTTACTGGTTATTGTAAATTTATTACAATACTAATTTTGATATTCGAAGAGTAAATTCGAACAGACTGGCAGTGGTCATCCGTTCAAAGATTATAACAACCCTAGTGAAAAGATTTCAGCCGCCGTAAAATTTATTTGCACGATACTGTAGACGGGGAAAACATTCACTGTACTGTATTATCACGTTTATGATTTTGATGTTCGGTTACATGCTTAACTGTATACACGGTTTCATATGCTTGCTTTCTCTCCGTTTCTTGTATTGAAAATTTACTGAGCAGATCATCGAATATTGGTTTAATGTAGCCAGATGTGGCTGTTTAAGTGCATGCAGGACTTATCGCTAAGTCTGGCTTCCTTGCAGGTCTGGATCCGCCTCTCCTGGTGGGATTAGAAGCCCTCCCGATGGAGGTCCTGGAGCGACTGGCCCACACGCTGCCCACCAGCGAAGCCATGCGTCTGGCCCGCACCTGCAAACGCCTCTTCTCCATCGTCGACCGGGAACGCCTGTGGCGTGCGTATCTGCTGCGGGATTTCAAGGGATTTGCCACGTTCACCGAGGAGGAGATCAAGCGGTTTCATGGTTCCTGGAAAGAGGTGAAGAAATAGATTGTCGGTGATACGCACCGTAAGAGGAAATCATCCCGGTTGTTGACATTTCATGTGGTGTTGTGTTACTTGCAGTGTTATGAAGCGGAGACCAAACGGCGCAACTCGGCCAAAGCGGAACAGATGCGCCGCTATGCCGGATATACCCGGCTGATGCCGTACTTTCCCCTCTCGCAGATGCATTTCGCCTATCCCGCCGCGCCACCGGGATTCGATGATGATGATTTTTTCTAAATGGGAGTAAATGGCAGTTATGTTGTATCAGATTCTGGCTTGTTTTCGGTGATGGTTATACGGCTTATAGCGAATAGTTTTCTACGTGGATGTGCTGATTTCGGTGTAGTGTTTCGGTGTCTACAGAGTACGGGAAGGACATTGCGACAGCCTGACAGAAATGATTAAAACATGGATGGATGAAATGCGAGTTTTTCTGATAATAAAGAAAATAATGTACGAATACCTGTGATCGTATATCTTTGGACGGGAAAGAAAAAAACACCGTCTTTTTCTGAACTGTAGTATTCTAAGAATACTAAGAATAAGAATACTGTAAGAATACTGTTCTTACAACGACAGCAGGTATTTACAGTGATGTGATTCGTGCTGTACAGATACTTCTACATATTTGTTAAGTCTGAAGTACTTTGACATTTCTCTACAATTGCTTACTTATAGAAGTTACAGTTTACAGTTGAAACAATTGCTCACCGGCACTATATTGTGTTGCAGCGAGCAGTAGTTCTTTAGGTAAGTTACCACTGTGGTCGTGTTTATCGCACAATGATCGCGCACAGCGCATGGTGAAGTGCGGCACCCCGTTTGGGATTTCACGTGAACAACTGCTGTCTGCTGCAGCCGTTTGCAGCATACATACTGTCGATGTGCAATTATTCGAACTGTAAAGTGTAAGTGAGCAATTGTTGAGAAATGTCAAAGGGCAGAAAGCGCAGTTCGTTTGCCAGCTGTTGCGTTTTGGTGTTCGTTCTCCTGATTCTGAATTTTCTCCTGATGCGGTAATCCGACAACAGTACCGAAGCCGAATTTGTAACTATCCTGTTCAGAAAGCAAAATACTCCGAGTGGTTTTTCCAAGGCCGATTGGGTGCTGTTTAAGTCCGCAGTTCTACACATCCTGTCGTTCGCTGAAAAATACTGCGCTTTTCAAATTTCCAAAGCGTGACCTTTCGCTGCAGTAGTCCGGCAGCCGATACGAATTTTGTTTTCGCTAAGAAGAACCACGTTTTATCGTTTGCTAACACATCCATTACAAATACTCGCATTAAAAATCCGATTTAACACCCCGGAAAGTTTACAGTTTCTGTGAATGAGTTTATGATGTGGATGAATGAATCGCAAAACGGCAACATGATCAATAGTGTAGAACAGTACAGTACTCCGTACTCGTACAACTAAGTAATGGTGCTGCTGCTGTACTCGTGTAACTAATGCTAACAACTACGGCAAATCTGAAACGCGAAAATACGGTAGATGCGCCTCTACTTCTACTGCCGGTGTATGCAGCACTTCGGCGTGTGTTCCCTTCGCTATGTTCACAATATGGATTCGCGTAACGGCCACCAGGACAGACGGATTTCCGAGGTTGTTCCAGAGGACACAGCTTTTAAAAATTTGATTTCTTGAGATTTATTGTTTTAAAACTAGCTTGCGCACGAGATCAATGAAAATTTAATCGGTATATCAGCAAGCACGCTGTTAGCGACGGGTAGAGGATGCAGAGAAATCTAACATAAATTAGGATTCTGGTCTTCTGAGACAGCATTCGCTCAATCTTAAAGTAATGCAGTCGACCTATGAATGTACATTAAATTTCCATCTTTGTAATAAACAACAGTATGTAATTACAAAGTTGAAAGTACAATATTATGCAATATTGTAGTACTGTACTGTACTATCACTATTTCAAGTCGGGAGTTTCGTCCTTCTTGACTTTGGCCCGCATTGTTTAATAATTCATGATCCCCCCTAAGACGCTACGCGTATTTCTTTCGTCATATTAATAAACAATAATAATTGAAGTATCTAGTCGGTAGACCCGCGTATTCAGTCTTTTGCAACCGTGAACAGGAATCACGCAAAGCCACCTATTACGCAAACAGAAACAATGATGAAAAATATTGTCAACGTAAACGTGGAACCCGATAACCCATGCACAAGAGATAAAATTCCCACCTTTAGATTAGCTCTTGTATTAGTCCGGAAGTAGCGAATTCGTCAGCTTACACTACTCGTAAGCATTTCATATCTACAGATTATTATATCCGCTGATTACAAACTTGCTTTGACATATTTTTGGCTCAGTTTTGTTTTCGGTATTTAAGTTATAGTGTGCAAAGTGAGTGATCTCATATCCACATCCCTACAACCGGAATTATCCCACTGAATTTTGTAAATTTTCAAAACTATAGTGATTCTTATTAAATGGCATCATGGCAAGAGCATCGTCGGGCCTGTACTCGCAGGTTTATTTTAGGTAAGTACCGTATCTGTACATGCAGACATTTAGTGTATGCTGTGTATCTGCTACCTAGTATGTAGTCGTATACAGTTACTTCAAGTAGTAACCGAACAGTAAAATGTGGGAAATCGACAAAAACGTCCGCACAAATTTACCGTTCCCACTTAACCCAGGATACTCGTACTTTTTGCGCTAGGGTGACATAGCCGCAAGACAAAAGTGCATCCGCCACATCTTTTGGTCGTTACATGGCACTGGGGAGAAATGTCCAGTTACGGTTGGCCGGAGCTGTATAAACGTATGTCGTATAGTTATGAAGTATTAGCCCGTGTTGCCGCCCACCTTAAAACAGCACTTTAAGAGGCGTTCGAAGCGGGAGAGGTTTTGAAAGAAATGAATACTATCTGGCCGGGTTTTTGCCTACGGGCTTTCAGAATATAATATTGGTTTTGGTTAGTCTTTTCTGGTTTGCGGACTCTGGGTCACTGGGGTATCCCATTCGTGGCAATACAGATCTGAATTTGGATACTACCTTCAGTTGGCGTATTTTTTCACAGTTGTAGTATTGCTGCAATCCTGGACAGTTGTGGTGCAAGCACAAATCTCTTGCCAGTTCGTGGGCACCTTCTGTGGATGGACGCCGACTCCAGCTCAGATATGGCAGGTGACCCAGACCAGCTGCAACGGGTCCACTACCGCCAAGCCGCCTGTTTCCGTTTAGCATACAGAGTATATTACGAAGTAATATAACCTACTAGATCACCCGACCCGCATTATAAATGCTTCTATCCCTGTTAATTACTGTCTTGTACGGTACCGTACGATAATATAAGAGCAGAAACTATATAGTTAGAACTAGGTGTGCGTATCGACTAGGAAGCCTCCTGGCATACTTTTAACTTGTCCATATCTATGTGAATTAACGATAATGCTTACACGTTGTACAAATTGTACGTAGTAAGTTGCGAGTAATCCGAATACGGTATAACAAAGGTAGGACAGTTGTTGTGTACGCTACGTATGTACAGGGCAATGGATGGCTGCTGCGAATAGTCCCAGCGGTGATGAGATTTTCGCCGAGCTGCTCTCGCAAGAAATCTACTTGACATTCCAGGCAACGCTGACGTTTCGCGTGCATCAGCAGACATTTGGCACCAGTAACAATCCGCATATTCAACTAAATGTGGTACCATCGGATGGAACACCGGAAGTGAGGATCTTTAGCAAAAACGATCAGTTCACCTGGTCCAATCCTGTTGTGATCACCGTGGAGCCGCGTACCACTGCTTTCCGGGTACGATACTACTGGTGAACTAAGAATGCATATATACAGTACAAGCATATTCTAATCGTTGATCCTGCATTACCATTTTGCAGTTAAAGTTTCGCCTGAAAGTGCGGAGTCGCACGTTTTGGGCGGGTTTGAATAATATTGTCCTGCAGGACGAAGGTGAGTAGTACTACAGCCGTACTACGATCATGGATCATGAGTGGTTTGCATATCAGCTACAGTACTTCGGGAAACTAACTGAATTAGGGCATGATGTGATGTTGCCGCATGCAGGTTTAATGGAATTTAGTACGTGGACAGCTGCCACGAAAACGCCACCAACTCATTCGCCTACAGACACATCAAGAACAACATCCATCGAGACCGAGGTAACGTATATGTCCATGAGGACCTCAACCGCTAGAACATCCCGTTCTTCCACACCAACCCTTGCCTTAACTACAACATCACTACCTCTTACACCGCCGGCGACCCCGCAACCTGCCAGCAGATGCGAGATCGGTCCAGCTATTATTAGCCGTTGCGCGAAAGGTGTGATCACGCTCTCCACAATGGATTTCCGCAACAGCGACGCCATGGAAGCGGTGTTCCTGGGAGACAATACATTTCCCTGTCGAAACCATTTGCGAAATATGCACATGTGGTTACTGGAAAGCGAAAGTGGCACACGAGCGGTCGACCCTTTCCTGCCGACAGTAGTAACCTGCCGAAATGGTCAACCGGATTTCAGTGAACGCAATCCCGATGCGACAGAATCGATGCGGCTGGCATTCCGCATTGTCTCGGTAGATTTTACGTGTCGTGACCTCTTCGTTCGTTACCTCGAACGAATTGCTTTACTAGTTAAAAACTAACAATGAAACCAATGTCAAGAGTTTGTGCAAGCTAAAACAAGGATAGCGATAGCGAAATTCTTGGTGCTTCCCGAAATTGAGAACATTATTGTTTGTTGTTATTATTACCGAACGAGAGCAGACGAACTCAACAGAAACTTTCGCAAAGACCAAAATGAACTATTTACGATTCACTATCTTTTTTCCCTAAATATTCACATCGGAAAGCTTTTTTTCAAAAGGTTTATCACATGTACAACTTACACAACTTACGACTCTGTTTTCTCGTTCATTATACCAAGAACTTACTATAGCTATGTAGACAACTTACTCTGTACCAAGAACTTCCTAACTTACTTACTCTCACACTATAGTAAGTAATTGTTTATACCCATACAGACTAGGCAAAATTTCTTCGGTAGCACTAGTGTGCACCGCGCACTGCAAGATTATCAGTTACAGCCCTTACATTTGAGTTGGATAAGTCTAAAAAATTTGTTTTACTTCCATTACTGTAATTTCACCTCACCGATGCAGCGGAATCCATGCGGCTGTCCTTTACATTGTCTCGGTAGATTTCACCTGTCGTGACCTTTTCTGCGATTTTTGGAGGAAATCGCATTGTCAGTTAATATGTGCTGACAACAAAAACATCATTTGCAAGCATTTAGCAGTAAGGCCGTTCTATTACGCGTAGGGTCTTCTAATCTTCTTCTATTACGTCTTCCAAAAATAATAATTTTATGAGTTGTGGCGACATTCTTGCTGCCTTTACAGTTAGTATCGACCTGCGTGCTGTCCGTAAAAATCATTTGCAAGCATTTACAAGTAGTAGGGTATGATATACTGTACTGTGCCGCAGCCTTCGGACCGCAATTACATATACGTGATAACGAGACAGCAAATATCTTAGGCGCTGATATACGTCACAAACGATTCCGGCACCGAATAGAATAATACCAGGACAAGTTTCCAGCACAAACTGAGACAACGAATTTGCATACCCAAGCCCTGCCATATGCAAACAAACGAACGCAATTGTGCCAAACAGGGACCTTAATTCGTTATATTCAGCTAATGCGAAAGCATAAAACCGATTTTAATGAGGGTTTTTATTCAACAAACGCTGCAGTCGTCTTAATTCGAAGTTGGGGGGGATCGCAGTCGAACCAACTCTACAACAACCAAGAAATTCGTCGAAGAAGGAAGTGCTAAATTAAGTACAATAAACCAGTGGATTTAAGCAGTGACCGTAGATGCGCGCTTCTATCTTAGGCGCTGATCTACGGAGCCTGCTCTTTGTGTAATAACCTTCTTTAATATACAAAACGTTTAAAAGAAGACTATACTGTGTTGTCGAGTCAACTTGGCACCGTTTCGTACAGTGAGGTATATGCTAATCGGATACGACTCACTGTATAAAAAGGTTCCAAGTTGACTCGACAACACAGTACTATCTTGCAACAAAACAAGACCAGATAAGTACAAGACGTTTCAAAAACAGTTTGTCTTTATCACGCTTAACAATTACACTAAAAAACGAATAACAGATTGGTATACAGTCATAATTATTATGCGGAATATAATGCGGATTTACATAAGAAATAATGTAGTGATTGTGGGTTCGTGATATTTCCTGTCATCAAAGTAGAAACGATGCGTGGAATTATCAAACGAGCTCACCGGAAATGCAGAAACCGATAACAATAGACTGAATTAGATAAAACTTTTTCGTTTTGATTAGGTTCTTTGTGAGCCCTAAAGTATTGAGTTCTTCAACGTAACACTCGGCTGATTATCAGCGTTCTGTTTCCGTGTTTTCGGTAAATCTATTGTGTCACCGGTCTCGGAGAAGCGTCTACGCTGTACAGAGAAACGACAACGGAAACAACATCTCCTCGAGAAATAACCTTTATTTCGGTAGAAATCAAAAGGGCAATCACAAAATCTAGCCAGAAAAGGGCATGAAATCAGAATCTGCTAGGAATCGATGTTAACGGTTCCGTAGCTGGCACTCGACTGGCAAAACATGCTTTTGCATGTGCGCAGAATGGCGAATGGTGAGCCGATCCAGTGATGGTGAGGCGAACACGCCAATATCCTGTGCACTACGCACAACACTCTGACATGCCACGGGACGGGACGCCGAAGCCCCTTGAGGCTCAAAACAGGAATGAGAAATGAAAAAACGCATCTTATATGCAACATAATGAGAAATGCAACATAATGAGAAATTCTTACTAAAAAAAATGTGCCAATTATTTCATCACAGTTAGTGAGAACAAGACGCGGCAAAATGCGGCGTAAATTTAATCAAAACGAGTTTATACTCGTAACAGAATCCGTTAAATTCCCATTCCGGTTAGTTCCAAAATCGCGCACGTTAATCCGTGTTAGTTTTGCAGGTTCCATTCCGGAGTTTTCCTCCAATTATACGCTTTGTAGCGTCGATCCACGACATATGTGCAACATAGTGCATCTACGGCAATTTTATTCATCTGTTTATGCAATTAATGCACTACGGCAGTTCTGTAACCAAGTATTATGCACTAATTTGTGCTTCTACGGTAATTCATTTTTATTAGAATTAAAATAAATTCAGTCTGGTGCACTCTTTGGGCGTTACGGCATTTTATTCTGAGTCATGTTCGTTGTACTCTACGGCGATTCAATAAAGTTTATCGTTACGGTTCATTGCGCACTACGGCTATTAATACTAAATTGTGTACTCGTAGTACAATACGGCGATTCCAATAAAATTAAGTCTGCAATTCGTTGTGCATTACGGCGATTTAATTTTAGCAGTACTTAGTACAATACGGCAATTGGTGCATTTAATGCTTTTACGGCGGTTTTGCCTGCAATTCTCCATTTAATGCGTTAAGAGCGTCGCTCAATACGGCAGACGTAGCCTTAACTTCGGTGCTATCCTCCAGCAAGTCCACTTCATCGTTTCCACCCGGGTAATAAAGTGGATCAGTTTCGTTATCTGGTATATGGACCGCAAAAATTAAATGGTCCACTTCGGTGAATGTTTCATTCTGTCCCAGCGCCTCCAGCTCCATTTGCCGGTCTCGAAGGGCTTGTCTCGTCGGGAAAAGGAAATTATTCCTTATTGACGGTTCTGGTCCCGTCATTTCATCGTCCGCCTCTGCGGCGGGTTGCTGCTCCAATGCCGGCAGGGTTTCCGCAATCGTCAGTGCCTCCACTGACGCCACAACTTCTGTTTGCGGAATTCCGCTAGACGGCGCAGTGATCACTGCAGATTGAGTATTCGCAGTTGGCGCTGCGGTTGCAGTGTTAGCTGCGATTACGGTTGCAGCATTAGCTGTATCCGGCGTTTCCTCAGGTTCTGTTGTGTCCATTGACACTACTGTTTTCTTCGGATCTGGTTGTAATGTCTGACTCGCTATTGGAGTATCGGGTGAATTCGGAGCGACTTTGCGCTTCCCCTGACGCTCCGCAAATCTTTTGACGAGATCGTATATCCCGTCATAATGTCCATTATGGATAGCTTCGGTATTAAGTCCATCAACTTGCATGACATGCAAAATGTCATTAAGTATTTTCGCTTGTTGTTCCTCGTTAAGAGGCTCTCCCATACGATTAACGTAGCTTTTCAATCGGCGGTTCTGTTCCGCTTGGCGGTATGTCCGGGCGTAATGGTGAGCGTGGCAGTTGCCCATTAACGCGGATAGGATAACCAGAATATACTTTTTTAATCCCCATCCGACAGGGATGGTGTCCCATGTGATTTTCATGGGAGCTATCTTACGCTGCATAGCGCACGCGGCACGGCAGAAAAACCAGAACTTTGCTGGATCCGTGTCCGGTAGAATAAACTGTAGGAGGAATTCCTCCGGATTTTCGGTAAATAGGATTTTAAACTGGGAGATTAATTCCCAATCTACTACGGAGATTTCGATGAGTTTTTCCTTAAGCTGGGAAATATCCAGCGCGCTACGCAGTCCATTACGGCGTGGCGTTTCATATCGCCGCACTTCCATTTGTCGAAACAAATCCACCTGGTACATGTTGATCGAATTGCGAATACGCAAATCATACCCAACGGTATGTAACAAGTCCAAGGTGTCAGTGATGGCTTTGCCGATTTCGGTTCTCTGTTCTGTATTAACTGTGCCAATTATTGACACAACACGATCAATATATTGATCAAGGTCCCGACGAATAACATCGATATCGCGGCGAATACGCTGCGGATGTGTCTGTCGTTCGGGCATCAATAATACAGATGCATCTGGCTTGTACGGTGTAGGTTTGTCACGCGTTGCGCGAACATTCCAATTCGGCGTTTTCTTTCTCTGAAATTTCACAGCTGCATTCAGCTTACCGGGCATAATATCGCCTTCTTCAAAAGAATTGTCTGGGGTTTTCCCCACATTCGGTAAGTTATAAGTAATTTTATGTCGAATTTTGCCACTAGCATTGCTAGTATTGCTAGAATGACTAGCACCTGAGTTCGGCTCAGAATCAAAAACTGGTTCACTTACAGGTACAGGCTGCACTCGCAGCAATTGTAAAGGCGGTTGTTGATTCACTGGCGGTTTCCTGGTCAGCGGCGGAAGATTTGCTAACAGCGGATTAGTTTGCCGCTGTGGTGATTCTTTCGGTGCTGTTCCAGCTGGCCATGGGCACGGAGTTATCATCTTCGTCTCCGGGTCGTACTGGTAACTTCCGCTGGGAAGACTCTGCTGCAGATGAGCAATATGCTCAGGTGGCAATGAGCCGGACGGTACTTGCAATGCCATGTTCGTATATCGAACTGGCTGTTGCTGCGGATATCCTGTTGGTGGCAGACTTTGCTGCTGGTATGGCTGCGGCGAAAACATAACCGACGGCTGCCATTGGCCTTGTTGCGGCTGATACGGCATTTGCTGTCCGCCGGCGCTTGCCGAATAATTCTGTAAATTATGGGAATTATCCCTACCCGGTAAATACTGGATGCTGTGATCTACGGGGAATATTTCAAAATTCCCGCATTCGCTGATAACAGGTATATTTACCTGATTTGGAGGCGCAGTTGCGCGTTTCACTAAATCCGCCGTGCATCGCCCAAAATTCTCAGGGTGGATCGCATAGGACCACTCATCAGCACCGTCGCTGATGAACTGCACAGCACTGTCGAAAACGCCACGGTAGTAATACGGCGTGGCACTGACTATCGTCCAGTACTCCGGCAACGTAATTGTACGATAAGCATCCAGACTGCGTAGCAGTACTTCGTCATAAAGACGGGACACGGTGATCTGCGGATTTTCCGATCGGAAGTTCGGGCCAAGTGTGCATTC